CACGCAAACAATATACAATTAAATGAATCGACAAAATATTTTTCTAGTTTTTCAGCCAGTCATAATAAGCCACAGAAGAAGAAAATGAAAGTACCATTTTAACCATTATTGTCACTTCCAAAACTTGCATTTCTCTCAGGAGTAATTTACCCATCACTACCGTTTATAAAAATTTAGAAAAATAATATTAAAAAAACAAGTATAAAATAAAACAATTCAACAATCAAATTAATCTTCGTTTATTTTTTTATTTTATTTTTCTTGGGTCTAAATTCAACATCAATAATTCCCTGTCATTAATTGCTTCTTAAACTCCTCTGCCTTTGCCATATTCAAGAGAGATTGATTGAAGAAGAAGCTTGATGAAAGTTTCTTGCCGTGCACACTTTTGTAAAAGGCAAGATGGTTATTTGGCGCAGCATTTGATAAAGGAAAATTATAAAAATAAAAAGGAAAAAGAAAAAGAAAAAGCTGCCGGATTCGCAGGGGGCCCAGCTTCACCGCTACAAGCCCAACTAGAGGAGTTCCCATTTGCTGTATAGACACCATTTTTAGTCTCTCTCTCTCTCTCTCTCTCTCTCTCTCTCTCTGAGTCTGACGCATGTAAATTTTACTCTAAATTTGTCGAAATCTCAAACTCATCGGAATTCAACAACGTAGTCTCAGTTTCAGTGAGTATATTGTTTATCTCTAAAAATGCTTCTGACCCTTTTGTGTATCTATTTAAATTTGTAATTTTTCTTTTTAGTCTCTGTTCCGTTGAAACTTGAAAAGTTGAGAAATTTTTGATGTGGATGCTATCCTGTCTGATTAGATTATCACAGAATGATCAAATTGGGTAGAACCCATATAGCTTTTTTGTGATTGGGTTACCAGAAAATTATGAAATAGTTGAATTACTAGAGGTAAATTTATCTGTGCTTCTCCGATTTCTCAGCAACCAAAGGGAGCTTTGGATACTTTTATTTATGTTCCATTTGGTTTCTGGGAAAATTGAAGAATCTGAAAGAAAATGAAGTGTTGATGCCTTTAAACCGCACGTAAGGATGGACAACTTTTGATGCTTAGTTATGAAGTGTGAGAATTGTAAAAAGAGTAGTGCTACCTTGTGTTCCTGTAAAAACGTTTCAGTCACGCTTCGTAAAATCATATGAGATTTCGAGCTAAATGAACAGAGAAGGGGAGAGGATCGGGGGGCTCAAAATAATTTTTTTAATATATGCTTTTAGATTATTGATTGACACTTTTTCAGATGAAAGGGCATGCATATCTGAATCAGAGTGTGCCAGTTCGCCCTTGGTTCAGTGGCATAACTCTGTTGACAAATACTCCCTTGCAATTAGAAGATCATAGGATTCTTGTTCATTTGTATGATTTTGTTTAAATTTTTTTTAATGGTGACCTCAATTAGAAATTTTTCAATGATAAAAAATCACTTCAGATCGAGGAATGGCTAAACAAGTTGTCGCCGCCCAACCGTCAGCTTCATTTGAGTATGAGCTTTTAGATGGTGATTCTGATCACCTGAGGACAGTCGTAGGCTCTACAGACCAGAAAAGTCCGTGGATTGAACCTTCAAAGTTGAAACTTAGACACAGAATTGGGCGGGGACCCTTTGGTGATGTTTGGTTAGCAACCCATCATCAGTCAACTGAAGATTATGATGAGTATCATGAGGTGGCTATCAAGATGCTTCATCCAATTAAAGAAGACAACATGAGAATTGTGTTGGAAAAACTAGAAGATATGTTCCTTAAGTGTCAAGGAGTAAGAGGTGTTTGTTGGCTACATGGAACTTCAATAATCAGTGGAAAGGTGAGTCACATTTTTGTACTCGAAGCACTATCAGTAGATTTCCATACATATACGAGTTCTAGCTTGCTAAAAGCAATTCGGGTTTGTACTCTCAGATATGCATCATAATGAAATTATATGAGGGATCAGTTGGTGACAAAATGGCTCAAATCAGAGGAGGAAAGCTTGCACTTTCTGATGTTCTGAGGTGATTTGAGTCTTGATTAGACAGTAAAAAAATCCTCAATTTTACTATTTTTCTAAGCTTTCGGTGCTCAGTTCTCACTTGGGCTATTGGTTACAGGTATGGGATAGGGTTGGCTGCGGGGGTTTTTGAACTACACTCCAAAGGGATCTTGGTTCTTAACCTAAAACCTTCTAATGTTCTTCTAGATGAAAATGACCAAGCAATACTTGGAGATTTTGGTATTCCTTATCTATTGCTTGGCATTCCATTGATAAGCTCAGATATGACTCGGAGGATCGGAACGCCAAACTACATGGCACCTGAACAGTGGCAACCGGAAGTACAAGGTCCAATATCCTTTGAGACCGACTCTTGGGGTTTTGGGTGCAGCATTGTGGAACTGTTGACTGGTGTCCGACCTTGGGGTGGGAAATCTGTTGATGAAATATCTGATTCAGTAGTCAGAAGGCAAGAAAAACCAGATATACCAAGTGGACTTCCTCCTGCAATAGAGAATCTTCTTCTTGGTTGCTTTGAGTACGACTTGAGGAGTCGCCCTTTAATAATGGACATATTGAATGTATTTAAAAGGTACGTGTCTCTTCTATGTTTATATCCTGTTTTGGGTTTTTGAGATGATGAATATAATGATACCCTTCTAGGTAGTTGCAGGTACTCCTGTTAGGTTGCTTTTCACTTATACGTTGCTCTTCAGATGATGGGTTGGGATCTATAACTTGCTGTAGGTCAGGGGCATATTCAATATAGTGCCTGTTTATTATTGGCTGAAGTGCTTATATAAGTTGAGAGAATGATCATAAGAGTGAATGATTCATATTTAGATTCGTTAAGCAATATTGGGTACAAACTACTCTACCTCTAATACATGTACTTGATAAAAACCTCATTGTTCTTAATAACCCAAATCAGAATATATGCATACAAAGCAGTCTCTTCATTTAGAGAATGCTCATGAGCTTTACAAAGTACAAACAAAACTTTGCTGGTTCTTGTGCCCAGCCAGATTCGATCATGCAAGCTTTTTGATATTATTGCTTAATTGAGTTGTTATCACATGATTATTATATGGTTGTGGAAGCCATTGTATCGCATGAACTTTCTGTGATTGCATAGAAAGCAAAAAATTGGGAAGAAAAAAAAATCGCAAAAATGACTTCCCAGGCAACATTTCAAATCTCATAATTTATCTCTGCAGATGTTGAAAGAAACCCTTTGTAATGGGTTGGTCAATATTACAAAATTTTGCTTGTTTTTGGTGTGTGAAATAGAAGTGTTCACCGCTTGTACCATTTTTAATAATTTCTACCACACTAGCAGCTTGCAGAATGCAATCTCCAGTGGTGGAGACTGGACAGGTCTTGGGACTAGAACAATCACGGAGAAATCAAGTAGCACTGGTTACACGGAGTGGTTCCTTTCAAAGGATCATCTCCAAGTGGGTGACACAGTGCGTTCCAGAAAGCCAGCAAACTCCTGCAAACCTGAAAATATGTATGTGCCAGAAGGCACAGTAGTGGGTGTAGAAGGTGACACAGATCACCATGGGTTTGTTTTGGTGAGGGTTCATGGCATCCATGACCCATTAAGGGTTCATGTTTCAACACTGGAGCGGGTAACTTTTGGCTTGGCAGCTGGTGATTGGGTGCGCTTGAAGAAAGAAGACAAGAAACACTCACCAGTAGGTATTCTTCATTCCATCAATCGTGATGGTAATGTAGCTGTTGGATTTATAGGGTTGGAAACTCTCTGGATGGGGAATTCTTCAGAGTTTCAAATGGCAGAATCCTACTGTGTGGGTCAGTTTGTTAGGCTGAAAGCTAATGTTTTGAGCCCTCGTTTTGAATGGCCTCGTAAGAGGGGAGGGATATGGGCTACTGGGAGGATATCTTGGATCCTACCAAATGGGTGCCTTATTGTGAAGTTCCCGGGAATGCTGACTCTTGGGGATGAGAACTCGACCTTTGTTGCTGATCCTGCTGAAGTGGCATTGGTTACGTTTGATACTTGCCCTGGAATCGTGAAGAAGTACCAACATCTTGAGGATTTCCATTGGGCAGTGAGACCACTTCTGGTTGCGTTGGGGCTATTCACAGCCATGAAGCTAGGCATCTTTGTTGGATCAAAAATGGGGAGATCCAATGTGAGGAAACAACAGACAGGTGCTGCACAGAATGAGAATCAACACACAGATGGTCAGAATTCCGGCAATCCGGCATGGAGGCCTCCTAACGTGGCAAATATCCTTTTCCGAGAGGGTGCTTCAACAGGTCTTGCTCGGTAGTTTTATGCACAGTTCATCTGCCCAGAGCTAGTGAAGTTTGCTGTAAATCATACTCATCTGCTGTAACTAGTTTGTTGGGTGGTATAGGGCATCTTACTATTTAACTTCTGCGTGCTGGAGAGCAGCAGAACAAACAATTATCAGTGTCAAATTTAGGGCAAACAGATTCGCTCTTTATGTATATTAAAATGTAAATATGTTAATTGACTTATTTGTGTGATTAAGACTGCAATGTATTTAACTTTGACCCATAATTTTATGGGGTATTATTTCCTGGAAACTACAAAAGGACAAGGTCGAAGCTTTCCATGTGAAACAAGTCTCTATCGCTTGAAGGTCATACTGCCTTTCAAGTTTTAAGAAGAGAAAATAACTTGAAATACAAGAAAATCAAGTATAAATCAAGGAACAGGAATCTCTATCGACCTTTTGGTTTGGTGCTCATCTTCCTCATCTTGTGTTTTATGTTCAAAGCAAGTCGTTTTGTTGTTTAAAAAATACATTGAAAATAAGAAAACACCAATTAAATTTTATATAACTCATAAGTCATATTATACAACTCATAAGTCATATTATACAACGTTTTAACATCTCGACATTAGATGCTATTTATGGTGGTGAGTGGTACAAACAATCACTTCTAACAAATCTAAGAAAGTAGATCAGTTGGATATCTGTACAGAACACGATATCAGGTCACTAGCTTCTGAATTACCTCTACTGCCCCGCAGGCCCTGCTCTTACAACAATACCAGCCTCTTTCACAAGCTGATCGGTCAAAGCCGAAATCCGGGAAACTTCTGTTGTAACCTCCGTTAAACATTCATCGTTCTCCGCCACACTTCTGCTGGGATCAGAACCATTTGGCAGGAAGATGGTGGTATAAGCATCAGCCTCAATGCTCAAGCTAGCTTTATGCAAAAATTCCCCGCTCATTTCTGCAAGTTTATGGAGTGCATTGGTTGCTGCTTCAACTTCCAGTTGGGCTGCCTCAATTTGAAGTTTCTCGATTGCCAAGTCTCCGATACTCTTCTCCCCTAATCTCTCTTGTGCCAAAGCATAAAGCTTTCTCAGATCATTAGCATCTTTGGCCTCTTCTTTCATTTTCTTTACTTCTTTTTCTTTTGCATCTAGTCTCCCCAGAACCATCTTAAGCTCCTCGTCTTTGATTGTGAGAGCCCTCTGAGAAGCTAGGACTTCCATTTCTTTTGTTCTTAAGCTGTCCCTTGCTAATTCAAGCTCAGTTTCAAGCTGTTTTATCTGCAACCTTAAATCATCAGCTGGATTCTCCAATAGTTGCTGCAGTAAGTCTTGGCCCATGTCATCAAACATTCTGGGTGCACTGGAGTCGTCATCCTTGATGGATATAACCAACTTATTAGTGAGCTCTACAATCCGTCCTACCACAGTTTCAGCTTCTGAACATTTCAGCTTTGTGTCATTCAACTCATTTTGCATTGTGTTTACATGTTCGTCTTTCTCCTTGAGCATAGTAGTTGCTTGAATAAGCTGGTCCTCTTTACTGTTCAAAAGCATCTTCAGCTCCGCAATTTCGTTGTTTACTTCCTCAAGCTTATTCCTTGCATTTAAAAGTTCGAAATCTTTTTCGTCCAAAATAAGCTTAAGAGAATCCCGCTCAGATTTCAAATGCTGAATTTCGAGCTTAGCCTCCACCATTACTGATTCTTTAACCTGAAGGAGATCACGCATTTTCCCAAAGTCAGCATTTTTCTTGTCTAGCTTCTTTTGGAGCGAAGAAATCCCATTGATAGCCTGATGCAGAGAGTATCTCTCTTTCTTCAACAGCTCTTGTAACTCTTCCATAAGCTCCTTCTCCATAGATAAGTCCCGTTCAAGCTCCCTTTTTTGAGCCTCTGCAACCCTAAGCTTTGCTCTTTCACTCTGTACTTCTATTTGGGCATCTTTCAAAGTTGTTAAGTAAGTCATAACACTTCCCTTGTGTTCTTCGAGCTCTTCCCATTGAGTTTCCAAAAGCTTCTCTTGTTCTTCCATTTTCTGTCTAGAGGAAGCCAGAGATTTCTGAGAGGAAACCAACTCAGACCTCACATCAGCGAGAAGCTTCTTCACTCTTCTGAAATCCTCTAAAGTTTCATTTGTTTCTCCAGCATGTCTAGATGCTTCCTCTGCTAGTTTCTTAAGTTCTTCCTGTGCCAATAACCACTCCATTGTCTGCTTCTCCAACTTTTCCTCTGCAACTTTGAGCTTTTCCACTTCAAGTTTCATCTGCATCTGAGAAACTTCCAATTCTTCTTCTTTCTCCTGTAGAGATTTCCGGAGTCCTTGAACCTCAACTGCTTGTCTCTTGACCACTTCATTGGCTTCATTCAGCAGGTGAGACTTGCATTTAAGCTCAGACTCAGTCTTAGCAGCTTCTTCACTCTTTAGCAACAATTCATTTCTCATTTTGTCCAATTCCTCTTCTTTCAAAGAAAGTGCGGCCTGTGCGGCCACGATCTCCTGATCTCTCTCTCTCAGCCGAAGTTTTATGTCATCTATGTGCCTGGCTTGGGAAGCTAAGCGAAGATTAGCCTGCTTCAACTCCTCCCCTATTTTTTCATACCTACAAGAAGCTGCAGCAATTTCTTTCTCCCGTTGCTCCAGCTCCTCCTTTGTGCGGTGTAATTCACAGTGCTCAAAGAAAACCGTTCTTTCAGCATCCTGCAAATCTTCTTCCTTCTTCTTCAGTGCTGCCAATGCAGCATGAAGATCAGACTCCAGGATTTCAAGGTTAAACCCTAGCTGGATATCCTGACGATGATGAGAATTTCGGTTCATCTGTTCTTCCAGTTTCTGAGTCTGTGCAAACAACCTCTCAAGAAGAATCCTTGCAGGTTCCGAAGCTCCATTGTCACTAATGCTCGACTTCCTATTATTTAAGACTGATCTAATAATCCTCAAGGAAGAAACTTTTCGCTTTGTGGTAGTTATAAAAGCTACTTTATTCTGCTTCCTGCTGAACCTAGGGGAGCATAACTGCAAAAATGTTGCATCCGTATAAGTAACTACTCTTCTGATAAGAAACCAACAAAGCATTAAAGTACAAAGCGTTTTTCGCAGTCAAAATTCCGAAACAAAAGCAATTAAATGGGCAAAACTGAAATCACACAGCATGGCAATAAACAATGATAGCTAACCGATATCACAGACCCAAGCTGCAGGAACACATCAATTTCCAAAACAGTTCAACTTTGTCCACACTAATCTTAACCCCTGCAATTTGCATAAAACCCTAATGCTCTAAAAAGCTCCCAAAAAAATCATTTATTGACATTATAAACCCTAGCTTTTACTTCAATTGGAAATTAATGAGCAGCAAACAACTAGCCACTTCCAAAATTTCATTCATTCTCACCATATTTCCCTACTTTCTTCTTCTACTTTCTCGCAAACCAAACGCAAGTTATGGCTATTTAAACCTACAAACACACACACGCAAATGCATACATACATATATGTATAGAGAGAGAGAGAGACAGAGAGACAGAGAGAGGACCTTGCCGTAGGATTGAGAAGAAGAGGTGGGGAGATTGGAGCGAGAAGTGGCAGAGAAGGCCATGGTTCAACTCTGGAGCACCTCAGGGCTCCGCCATCACCGTTGGATCGATTTCTGATCTGAGCCAGCGATTATCCATTTGAATCAAATCTTTGGGTTTAAACCAAAACAAATTAATTTCCGACAGAAAAATCAAACGCAGAGAATCTGAAGAAGGAGAAGGAGCGAAGCTTCTGGAGCGAAACAGAAAGTCGCTACCGGCTCACGTTAGCATCCACCAGTAAGCTTGGCCCTTTCTACTTTAGCTTCCTTCACTCTTCAGGGGCTTTCTGGGTGAAGCTATGTTTGCGCCTTAGAGATAAAAATAGAAAAAAAAAAAAAAAAAAAAAAAAAATATGAAAATGACATATGGATAAAAAGAAATCCTACGTGTCAGCCGACGTAACATGTGAGGACAAATTGGTGTGGAAGCGCCTTGGCCTGACACGTGTGATAACTGGAACCGTGAATGTGCACGGGAATTAATTACGTACACAACAACTTGTGCGTCAAAAGGGTTCTATTTCAAATCTAAAAATCTTTTGATTTTATAGTTATGAACACAACAAGGCGTACGTCAAAAGAGTTTTGAGATACCAAACTTTATTTGAAAGATTATATGGTAGAAAATGCGATGATTTTGACTCAAACGTGATAAGTAGGACATGGTTTTGAGTTTTTTTCTCCACTAGGCCTCAAAGTCATGACATTTGCTAATGGAATTGAGAATTAGAGAATTGGGTTACCTCGGATGTAGACATGCACCACGTAGTTCCCTTCCGTGTGAGGAAATTTCTAGTCTAAGCGCTTGGTGAGAAGTCCAGAAATCCTTCACAATCAAAACATCAAACACTTAGCCGACAACACGATCGAAAATTCACAACTATACCAAAAACAAAGCAAAAAGAAAGCAAATTTATTGCAATTAGTAGTTACCAAAGGAATTGGCGTTGTTGAGTAGTGATAGAGGAGGTGGGGGTAGAGGAGAGCTCAATTCTTCGGAGGTGGTGGTGGAAATATATGGAGGGAAATATTTTTATAAAGTATAGAGGCGCTAATTTTTAAATATATTTGAATATTTAAAGAGTATAGTTGTGCGGCTATACGTTTTAAATATATATTTATTTATTTATTTATTTAAAGCGTATAGCGGACTGGCTATACTCTTTAAATAAATTTTTTTTTCCATTTAAGGCGTATAGACGTGCGGCTATACTATTTACATATATTTTGTATTTAAATAGTATGGCCTCACGGCTATACTATTTAAATATATGTTTTTATTTAAGTTGTAAAGCCGCGCGGCTATACTACTTAAATGTATTGAGTATCGCCACTCGACCCTACTATTTAACTTTTTTTTTAATTTAAAGAGTATAGCTGCACAGCTCTACGATTTAATTATTTTTTTTAGATGAGAATAGCCGCGCGGCTATACTATTTAAATAGATTTTTTTTGGGATTTTTTAGGAGCTATGGTCCCTGAACTTATACCCGAATGACATTGTGGTCCCCTCAATTGCAAAAATGGCTGTGATGGTCCCTCAACTCTACTTTCGTTAGCATTATTCGTCTTGGTGTTACTTTTGTTAGCTTTTTCCGTCATTTTCAGCACCAGATGTACTGTAGAGGGTTAAAAATGACTTTTTGCAATTCAATTGTCTTCACAAGAAACTTCACTTTCAAAAGTCCCTAATTGTAATCGGGTCATTTGCATAAGCCCACGTAGACCCAAACCCAATCAAATGAGAGCGTCTTATAAGCCCAATTGTAAGGACCCAAACCCAATGAAATGAGCCCAAGACACCGTTGCAATGGCACATGATCGAGACTTGTAAAAGTCACACAACAAAATGTATGCAATACGTAAACAAATTGGATTATTTGAAACTAATGAAGAGCTTCAATTGGGGGATCTTTAAAATAAATTTATTTGAGAAACACTTTTGTGAAGCTCATTATACATTGTATTGTATTTCACAAATTTATATTATTTATTTTTTAGGTATTTCCTCAAAGATCATTTATGCAAAAAAAACATTCCAATCTGAAACCGTTTATGCTTGAATAGTATATGAAATTTATGGGTGTGTATGTACGTACAGACTCATGAACATTGTTCTCTTGTTGAATGTAAAGTACATATTCTGGCAAAACTTAACATTATCAATCGTTATTACTGTCTAACAACATTAATATCCACACAGATTAGCAAAAAAAGGTTTCCCGTACATACATACGTACCCACACGATTTCATATAAAATCCAAGTACAAAGAATCTAGACCATTTAAATTGATTGTCTAAGTTTATGTCCCCAACTTTTCCTAAAACAACCACTTTCTTTAATCTCAATGTCATTATCAATATGGCCATAATTTAGTGCCCAAGTAGGAGCTCCGGGAAAACATGATTGGTGAAAGATGAGATCACATGTATCCATAGCCCTAGCCCACAAATCTTCCACTTCGTGCATCTAGTTATGGAGATCAAGAAAATAATAAAATTAAGCACAACTATTCACGATAATTGATGAAAATCACACTAATAAATCCACAACCTAAATCTCCATGATAATCCTTTTTGTCTCAATCACCAATAATGAAGCTTTTTTTAGGACCCTTCTTATTGAGAGTGACAATAATATACTAAACTCACACACACTACACGAATGTTAGAACTCGAATCCAAGATCTTGCTTGAAGGAATAAATACTGCAAACTACTACACTAGTGGGTCATTTACGCCAATAATAAAGGTTAAAACATAAGAAAATTGACTTTTTTTAACCCTAAATATTTTGTTGTCTCATAAAAAAAAGGGCTAAATTAACAACCGAAATGAGATTGTCTTTTGATATGATATCTAAACAAGAAGCATAGGTGGGCCCAAAATGAGCACTTTTTTGTAGCTAGGAGTGTGACTTACTCAGATAAGGTATTATAAATTTACAACATGGTTGCTAATAAACCAAAACATGTCATTATTTAAGTGAAAGAAACAGCTAAAATACACTATCGCCTAGTTGATTATCTTATTATTATAAGGTTGAAGATTTGGTTAAGGTTAGGTATTAAGGGAGATGTGACGCCATAAAGGATAAGCCTCATCATAACCTCATGGTACGAGGTCCATGGCTAATTAATTAATCATAAACAAGATCATGCGCTAATATTAGTAGGTCCCAATCCCAAAAGGATTTGATTTCATATCAACCACAAAATTGTAAAAAAGGGGTAGGATTAAGAAATAGAGGGAGGAGGAGAATTTACTCTTTGATACCAAATGAAAGAGGGTTTAACTTTATGTTTTGCATGCTCATAATGAATGCGTGTTTTTCTTTTTTCTGTTTTGTCTTTTTTCTCGTGAATGAAAGAATAAATAACAGTTGGCATACAGAAAAGAATACAAATAATTCTCATGTCACATGATGATAGAGATAAACATATATATAGTTGTATGCCGCCATCAATAACGACGGAAAATTGGAAGAATAGGGGTTGAAGAAGTAGAGTGGAGTGTGCGGACCTTTTTCTCTTTTACACTTTATCCTTTGCATTTGACTTTGCGTGTAAAATAGAAAAAGGCAAAGATCTTGGATGATATAGTAGGCGATATTGATTTAGACGGCCATGATGGAATCCTAGAGTATGCTGGTGGATCTCTGCCATCCAAAAGCAGCCACCGTACAAGAAGACCTCACTCATAAAGATGGAAGGAAGTGATGAGATTGTAATCTAATAAAGAGATTTTGTTCGTGAGGTTTGAGTTTTTGAGATTTTTGGGGGGGTGGAGAGAGAATAGAGAGAAGAAGAGAGTAGAGAGTAGAGAGTAGAGAGTAGAGTGGTCCTCCGTGCGTATCCAAGGAGACCTTAATGATAATGTTATCATGTTTTTTGATGGTACCACTCGCGTGCATATGAACAGCGATCCTGTACGCTGATTTTAATTCGTAGGGCCCACTCTCACTAGACGTGCTGTGCTCCCACTTGCTTTTCTACTGCATTTATCACACTTGCTAATTTAGTTAAATTTGCTAAACACAATTGCTAATGCATGGTAGGGCGAAATCTTATCGTTGATGCGCTATGCGTAAATATTTAAAAATCATCTTATTGAGCTTCGGTGAAATATATCTTTTTAAACATTTTCATCTATATATATATAAAAAAGACAGAGAATGGTGAAACATTCAAAATACCAAAAATATCATTGGTTAATTCAAATATTAAGAATTGAAATTATTAATTAAATGAGAATAATATGGTAAATTCACATTTTTTAAATATTAAAACAAAATTAGATAATATGTCCTATTTTTATGGAACACAACCACCCTTTTTTTTTTTATTCTAAAATAAATTATTTTAAAAAAATCTCTCACAACGTGGAAACGCGTGTGAAGAGACTAGTATTTAGTAAGTCTATATATGAGAAATGATTTTCCTGGCATATGAGAAAGGATGAGAGAAAATGAAACCCTCCCTCCATCTATATTAGATTTCATTTTCCCTTCTAATGGGATGTGAAACCAAGATAAGCATTAAATGCTTTTTTTCATGACCAATTTGTCTCCATTAATAATTTAGAATTACAATTTTATCCAACAACAAAGATTATTGGTAATTTTTTTTTAAAAAATTATATTTCTATCAAGGGTATAATTGAAAAATTAAACAAAGTTTGTTTACCAAATATGAGAAATGAAATAAAACGGTACATGAGAAATGATTTCCAATTAAATTATTTCCGCAACCAAACAGGGCCTTAGTTTTATAGCAAAGCAATAAGGAAATCATTTCAAGTACTGAGATTAGACTTATTAGAGTATCTCCAACCGATATGTCAAATGTGTTACATAAACATTTAACAGCTATAATTAACATCTCACATCACTCCAACCGATGTGTCAAAGTTGATGTGGAATGAAGGCTAGAGGTTGAGATGTTATTTTTGACATCCCAAAAGCAAGATGTCAAATGAATATTTTATTATTTTTTCTTTTCTTTTCTTATTAATTAAAAATGAATCAACACTAAAATGTAATAAAATAATAATTTAATTTGACATATCGGGTGGAGTATAAAGCTGTATAAGATGTCAAATTGACACATCAGCCATCAAATTTAAATTTGATGTTTGGTATTTAACATCTCCCTTAGAGATACTCTTAGAGCATCTCCGACCGATATGTCAAAAGTACCACATATACATTTAACGGCTAGAAATAACATCTTACATCACTCTAACCGAATTGTCAAAACTGATGTGGAATGAAGGCTGGAGGTTCAGCTGTTACTTTTGACATCCCAAAAGTAAGATGCCAAATAAATAATTTATAATTTTTTAAAGATAGCAGGCTGTTACTTTCATTTATTACTTTCCGTTTTTATTTTTTTTATTTTTTATCTTAAATGATTTGATTGTTACAATAATTATTTATTTGACATATCGGGTGGAGTGTAAAATTGTGTAAATGACAAATTGCTACATCAACCATCAAATTTTAAATTTGATGTTTGGTATTTGACATCTCTCTTACAGATGCTCTTACATCAAATAACAGTCCAATATATTTTGTTTTACAAGTTTCAAACTTATAATAATTAATTTGACTTCAATTTAATTCAATTGAAATGAGCCACCAACGAGAGCCTTGAAAATAAAAATGTATACATATCGCTTCGCACGCGCGTGGTTGAAAACGAGACATGGTTTCCACTAGCTGGGAACAATGGCGTCACTCGTATCCACAGCTGGGGCCCGCAACAATAAAGTAACAATGGTCAATAGATAATAGAGACAAACTAATGGGTCACTGATCTCCAAACGTGGCACGCTGGCAGAGCTAGTTAGTGCCACAACCCCTTCATCATGCCACGTGTAGGGTACACAGGAGTTCAATTAGATTTGCTAGAGCCACACAAGCACGTAGTGTAAAGGGTGGGGGAGGACCACCTTGGGACCACCTCCAAAATCTGTAAAATCTCCTGCGGCTGGATTCTTTGCCTATACTTCGCCGTCAATTTGTGTGGAATGACGATAATGCTCCTTTACCTCGTTATTCACAAAAGTACATGCCGGGCAATTGGGCCAAGTTACAGTGGAATTGGGCGCTGGTATTATTTTACAGCGGCACCTCGCACTGATTTTCACAAACAAGTCCATTCTTGCATCACAATTTCTAAAAACAAATCATTCAAGTTGAATTCTTCAGAAAAAATTCATGTTATACTTTCACGTGTAAGAGTTGTAATACACAAAGAGTATCTCCAGAAGAGTCTCAAAATTTTTGCTGAAATAGCTAGAAAGTCATTATAACAAACTACTTAAAAAGTGTTTCCTCTAGTAATATTCTTTATTTTGGCTAATATCTAATATTTTCTTATTTTTCGCTTCTCCTTTATAAATTAAAAGTTCATTAAAAAATCGAAAAGTAAGAGGTGAGAGAGGATTGTGGGCATAGGGAAGAGGAGGAATAAATGGAGAACCCTCAATTTCTCTCTCATTCTCTTTAAATATAGAGAGCCACCAAACTCAAATAGGCAGTTCTGCAAAATAGAGAGCCAAATAGCAAGTCTATTGGAGCTGCGTTTTGCCCTTATTTTAGCCAAAATGGTTAAGGATCATAATATAGCAACTCTACTAGAGATGGTCTAAGGATTAGAGTATAGCAACTCTACTATAGATGCTTTAAGAACCAACTAAAAAATGACAAGTGATTAGTTAGAGAGTTTTTTTTTTATCCAATAACTCTCTAACGTTTTTGTATAAAATATCATATTCGAATGAGTCTATTTATAAAAAGCCCTTTAATTTACCGATCTTTCTAACAAATTTTGATTTGTCAACACAATCTATTACCAATTAATAAAATTAAGAGTTTAAAATAAAAATAAGCATTTATTTAACTTTGTTGTTGTTGTTGTTGTTGTAAGGGAGTTCTAAGCGTTTGTGTGACGGATTTCAAACTCAATACATGAACAATTTAATGGTGTGACATGGGAACACGTAGTGTGAATGTTGAGATTCAAAAGTAGGCAAACATACAAGTCTAGATTTCAAACACAATATTAATTGGTAATGAAAAAGCCAACTAACTCATTAGTCCCCATAAAATTTCTTAATTGTTGAACGGGATAGATCGTGGCCGTTGGATTATGGGTTGCAATAGTAAATGGAAGATCGGGGGCATAAAAGCTTTCGTTTCTCGGATTTGGAAAACGTAGGTGAAGTAGCTAGATACACTCAACAGTGAAAAACATCCACAAGTCAGAACCCTCTCTCTCTCTCTCTCTCTCTCTCTCTCTCTCTCTCCCTTTTTCCTACTTCAAATTATGGCGCGTGATACCTTTTATTATTTATTTTTTGCTACCATCCCCTCATGAATTAATAATTGATGAGTTTATATATGTTCACTACACATCATCTTTCGGGTTTCACCCCAACTAATAATCCACTAATAAAATAGGTGATAAACAAGTTTTATCTACTATAGATATACATTTTAAAGAATCAGTACATAATAATATAATTTTCAATATGGAAATAGTTTGTTCTTTACTCAAGTTTGTATTTTTCTATAAATAACTTAAGCAGTACAAGAAAAAATTATTTAACTTGAAATAGAAACTGAAACAGGAAATATAAACCTGAAATGTTCAATAATAATCTCTACAGCAAGGGGACTTCAATAAGTTTGAAACGGCAACTAGGGAAGCGTTATTCATGCTTTTCACTGAATTTATTCCACTTTTATATGTTGAAATAGAAACTACGGAAGCGTTATTCAAACTTTTTACTTGATTTATTTTACTTTTGTAACTGAGTATAAATAACACTCGTTTTAATAATGTGATTAAAAGAAGTTGGAATTTTGCGAAGAAGTCAAATAGTGCTACCCTCTTCATTCATTTGTGGCAAAATATATAAATGCAAACATGACATTTGATTACAACTTGTTTGTTTCCTTGTTCAAGCATGTGGTAAAACTTGTTAAGACCTCTTGAATTTCAATCAAGAACTTGAAAAGATGCATCATCATCAAATTTGATATAAATCATGGGAAAAAGCATCGTGCAGTACACGTGCATTAAAACCGCGTCACCATCAGCTTCACCTACGTATCTTCCAAAGTGCTGTGGTTTGGCCAACATAATAAATGAAGAAACGAAAAACCACTAGCAGGCAATTACTCTCTCTCTCTCTCTCTCTCTCTCTCTCTCGTACAGAACCCAACACAACACACAGAAAGATTTGAGCTTTCAGGTCAGTTTTAGGAGGGAAAATTCCAAAACCCAAAACCCAAAACCCCATTTGATTAGAGCAAACAAAGAGAGAGAAGGGCCAGGCAAAGCCTAAAGATTTATAAAGCCATTGAAGTGTTTGAAGTTTGAAGAGAATTTCGACCCAAAAAAAAGAAGTTTGAAGAGAGCGAGAGAGAAAACCAGAGAAAAAAATGTTTGCAGCAGAAAATGGACTCAGAGGAGACCCAAGGCTCCAAGCCATATCTGAAGCCATCAGGGTTGTGCCTCACTTTCCAAAACCAGGTTCCTTGTTTTTTCTCTTCTTCTTTTTGTTGGGTAATATTTTTACTATTATTTTATTTATTTTTCAGCTGTCAGTGTTTGTTTGTTTAGTTTGATCAAGCAAGGCTGTTGTTTGTTTACTATGTTGGCAGGAATAATGTTTCAAGACATAACAACATTGTTGCTTGATCACAAGGCCTTCAAGCATACTGTCGACATTTTTGTTGATCGCTACAGAAACATGGACATCTCTGTTGTTGCCGGTACATTTTTTAAGGTTTATTAATGTTTTGAATATTGAAATGTGGGCTTAATTAGTTTATTTATGGGTTTCTTGCACAGAGGATGGTACTTTATCTTTGCCTCTTTCGTTTGGCTTTTGCTGCTACTTCGATTGTCTTGAGATGTGTTTTGGTCTTTGAAGCTGCAATCCTTGTTGATTTCACGGATGATTTTTAAGGGTTCGATATGGGAATTTCTTTTTTTTGGGGGTATCACAGTATCACCCATCTAATATGACCACTTTTATTGATTTGAAAATATTTTCTCCAATTTACCCCCTCAAGAATTATATCCGTGGAGGAAATACACTACTCTAGTTTCACAACAGAGCAGATTAGTTCCTTTTCCTTGGGATTTTTTTTTGGAGCTATGACAGATTATTTTAGCTCAGTGCTATCAATTTTTGTTGTTGTTGATACAACCGATATTCTACTTAATCTAATCTAAACTATGGGGGAGGGGATTCAAACTCTGGTGCATAGTGGGGAGCACATCCGCTCTAGCCAACTTGGCTAAGCCCATTTCTGCAGTTCTATCAATTTTTGGCCATACGGTTAAAGAACGTTTTGATGAAATTCAAATTTTTTTTTTCTTGGTACTTCATTTAATAATAAGCTATTTGCATTTTCTCCTGCATTGCTGCAGTTTTGGTCGCTCGGAACGCTGTTTCTGATTTTTGAGGATTTTTTAGCCATTTGAAAAAAAAATTTCCTTAATTTTTTTTTTTTCAATCAATAAACTGTTGACCTCAAACTTATCCTATCAACAATATTGTGTGACTAGCACGTTTACTATTACTCTCTGTATGTTTGTGTCTGGTTTTTTCTAAACCTGTCATTTGCTGTACCACATTGTCATAGTTAATTTCCTGAGCTGAAGGGTAAGGACCAATTGTCCGCATAGATCAATCTTTGTGCTTCTTGAAAACTTACGTTCTTGTCGGTACTTTAAGTGAGTGAAGAAAGCTAGCTATTGATGTTGATGTTTAACTCCAAGTGGAGTTCTTCATTTTTTTGCTGTCTTCATGACAGATGAACAGGCACATGAGTGTCATTGTTAAAAAAAAGGTTGTTTGAAATGAGTCTATGTCGTTGGACTATCTCAATTATTGGTCTTAATCATTCACTATTTTCTCAAGTTGGTTGTATAGTTTACCCAATAGTAGCATGATGGTGACCTTGATTAGAAAATCTAATTAACATAATTGCCTTTTTTTTGGTGGTCTGCTTTGCATACTTCTCATCTAGTGATTAAATGCAGGAGTGGAAGCCAGAGGGTTCATGTTTGGTCCTTCGATTGCCTTAGCGATTGGCGCCAAGTTTGTCCCTTTACGTAAACCTAGAAAGTTGCCGGGTATGCTACTTTAGCTCTGCTAATTTTTTGAAAGTCAAGGGGTTAATTACTCTTTAATTGGTGCACTCAGTCCACCTTAATCAAATTTTGAACTAGATAATTAAAGTGAGTGTCCTTTGAGCCTTTGAAAGGCTGATTTAGGCTACTAAAACAGTTGAAGTAAACAGTGGGCTAATTTAATATGCTTGGCCATACTTTTAATGTCTGGTAATGTCGCTTTTATCAATTACTTTCATTTAGGTCTTCACGAGGGTCATAATGAGCAGCAAGCTAATTTCTTGAAAGATCAGTAAAAGACATCTTTAATATGTAAACAAAAGCTATTCCTCCATTTCTATTAAAATTCAAGACTGATTCAATTAATTATAGTCTTGTGCACTTGCCATGGTCTCAAAATACTTGATTCATTTCTTATTTGGTGGACAAATGAAACTTTTCTTAGCATCTTGATCTAATGAACCTTAGCCAGATCTAGCTGTTTCTTTAAGAAAAGAATAAACCCTTTGAATTCGTTTTAAACCACCAGCGCGTCCACATCGGGAATTCTTCTTCCCTACGACTAGCTATATACAACCATGGGTATATCTCTCGGTGTCTTTTCGTACTTGCATTTTTCACATTCAATGTACTTTAGTCTTCACTTCAGATGCTGCTTATGCAGGAGAAGTAATTTCAGAAGCATATGAGCTTGAGTATGGGACTGATTGCCTGGAGATGCATGTTGGTGCTGTTCAGCCTGGTGAACGTGCATTGGTAATTGATGATTTAATAGCTACAGGTGGGACCTTGTCAGCAGCAATAACACTTTTGGGTGAGTGGTTGCTATTAGGCCTGTGATATTTCTTCTTCATTTTCTTTCTTCTACTGCTTCTTTACCCAACTGGAAACTCACATAATCCCCCCCCAAAAAAAAATCTGTTTTTCTAGAACGTGTAGGGGCTGAAGTGGTCGAATGTGGATGCGTTGTTGGTTTGCCTGAGGTTAAGGTAAAGTTTGAGCCTTTATCAACTTAAAAATGGGGTTAAGTTACGATTTTGCTCCTTATAGTTTGGCCGAAGATCCACTTTTTGCGATTTTAGGCATGTAGTTTAGTAATTGTTGCAATTTTTGGACAATGACTTGATTTCGCCAATATTTTTTGATGAAATTACAACGTGATTGGCCAATGTGAGGGTAGGTTGCCTTCAAATTACGAAATCACGAAAATTGAAACTACATGTACCAAAGTAGAACTTCAGACAAACTGTAAGGACCAAATCATAATTTGTCCCAAAAATTGGAGGTATTCTTTAATGTGTGAGGAGCATTTTGTTATTCATTTTCAAATTTGAAAGCATTGTGTATTGAGTGCATAGCCACTCATGCTCTCTCATACTCCTTTTCTTATCTCAAGTGCTATGCAGTTGAGCTGCTCTTGATGATTGTGACCTTTCAGGGACAGTGCAGGCTTAATGGAAAGCCACTTTATATCCTTGTGGAGCCACGCGAGATAAATAACTGTTGTTGAGGTACTGCATCATCGTCCTTAGTTGGCAATTCAAAATTGTATGTAGAGTTTAAAAAAAAGAAAGATATCTTTTGGGGAAAAAAAAAAAAAAAAAAAAAAAAAAAAAAAAAAAAAACAGTCAGTTGGGATACTCTGACAGCCGTGTTTTGCCGTCTATGGCCGACTGTTGATGTATATGGGGACTGCATCTCATCAACGGTCAGAAATCGTGCAGACGACTGACCATAGTAAAATCCGTGGCCTGCTTACAAGTTCTCCAAGTTAATTCTTTACTTCTTCATTCATGCAGATCTGGTTTAGTTCTGCTTGGGCTGACTGCAGAAACAATGATGCTTGACTTGAGCAAAAGAGGCCATGAATGTCTTGGGTGACTCAGTTCTGCTGCACAAAGCTCATTGCGTCGTCTGCATCTCTTGTAGATTGCTGTGTAACATTAGCCATTTCGAACAAAATTCATGAACAAATGTTGTTTTGAGAGATTGGTTTATTCTTATTCAAATGGGAAACCTTTGTTTCTGCATTATGCAATTTTTTTTCCCTTTTTAATGAAAAATTATATCTCGGCCATTTTGTTTTGCTGAAGAGGATAAAGCCAACCGCGAGTAGCAACCAAGCTGCTCCAAAAGGACATTGAAAGAATCTAAACATGCATCTCAACTGACATATGACATCACAAGCATTTGTGTACCAAATAAAGGCAAAATCTTATCTCCTGTAGTACATTTTTGTTCCCTCTTCCCCAAATTGCATGGTACATTTTGTAGATATGGCGTGGCTTGAAAAGGTACATTTGTTGTCGGCCAAAGAAAATGGTTTCCTTTGTTTGAGTGCTATTATTGATATACAAGTTACCTGATAAAACTACGATTGCGAAAGAAGAAATCGAAAAGTTTCTGTTTAACCCGAAACAGAAGAATTCGAAAAGTAACTGTTTAAGCCTAAACAACCAGCACAAAATAAGTTACTGTCATTTGAAAATTTTGCGAAGCATTTTTGGATCCAGTTCTCTAATCATGCACATAATAGACTAGGGCAAAATTGCTTTCAATCTCTAAGCCAATACGAAAAGGAAACCGCTTTCCACTAGTAATTTCCCTTCATCTCTTTCTATTATTCATGCCCTTGAAAAACAGAAGAATACAACATTGTCCTAATGCAGAGAATGCACAAACTTTCTTGAGACTTGTACGTGTAACCACAAGCTTAAAAAGTGTCATGTGTAATGAGAGCTATATGAAACAACAGATGATGAAAGGCTCAGATTATTCTTTTTTTTTAAAACAAAAAAAACAAAAATTTACAATATTCATCCCTACATTTTCCTACTTACTCACGAGTGAAGTTTGTCTTGAGGGACATCGTCTTGATTAGACGGGATGTCCATTTTGCAAGCCTGACGTATGACACTGTTCAACTGTTTCCGTAAGCTAGCGTTTTCAGAAAAAATGTCTGCAAGCATCTTCCTCAACTCATCGTCTGTTGTTCTTGTATCATCAACAAAATTGTCAACTTCACCAACATCAGTAGTGGCTCCATTGTCTTGAGCTAGGAGCTGTACCTGATCAATTGAAGCAAAGTTCACTTGAGATACGGTTTAAAAATAAGGCTAGCAACAAACAAATTTTAAGTTCAAGATTTTTAGAAGCCGGGCCAAATTTAAGTGTTGAATAATGCGACAAGATGCCAGAAAATAAAAAGTGGCAAACAAAAGAGACTGGGAAAGAAATAAAAGTTACCTCTGAAAGTAGGAGGCCAATACGGTTGTCTGATGTTGCCAACAAATCTGAAGCCTCTGGTAGCATTGAAGGGTCTGCAGGAAAATTGATATTACACTCTTGAAGCTGCTTATGAAGAATCCTGCAGTCATGCAACAATCTTTCTCTAGCAGTTTCTCCAAGCTTGCTTGTTTGTTTTTCCTGTTGGAGAAGCTTCTGAAAAATAGAAAAAGAAAAGAAAGCTTTAAACATCAAAGTTTCATAAATAATTTACTCTCTGACTCATCTGCTGCATATCAATTAATTGAAGTTACTTGGGAAAACCATGAAAAATGAATGGACTTTTTTATTTACATTTTAGAATGCGAAATGATAATATGTCCTATTCTTGTATGCAAACATCTATCTTAGAAGAATAACAGAAATGCAAGTTAATAACAAAAATGCAAGGAAGCCAATTGTTAAGAAGAATAACAGAAAGCAGAACCACTTCAAAACAATAACCCAACAAGAACTAGTTTGAAATAGTTGGAATTTAACAATGCTTTAGCAAGGGTAACAAACTACCTCAGCTTCAGATTTCTCCTTTAGTGATTTACTGAGTTCATGCTTCAGTTCTTTTTGGGAACTGCGTAAGGATTTAACTTCTTTAACAAGAACTTTAATATCTGCTTTAGATTTTGCCTCTAGCTCTTCATATCGCTTTGACAAATTCTCAAGCTGCTCCTTAAAAGGATCCAACTCCTGTGGCATTATGTCTTTCTCCTGAACAGTGGAATCTTTTGTTGCATCTGCACACAACCTGTTATCCTGGTACCATTCAACGTATAAATCCCAAATCATTAACAAATGACAGATGCAAACCGACACAAAAGAAAAAAACCGTGTCAGATGCAAAAGACATAATAGAAGTGGACAAGACAAATATTAGGAATTATAACCTGTTCAGACTTCAACTTCAACTCCATTTCCAACGACTTCCGCCGGAGTTCCTCCATATCCCACTGCATTTTGGTAAACCTTTCCCTCTCAATTAAAATAGCTTGCTGCAGGTTTTCTTTACTTTTCTGTCTAGTAGTTTCAAGTTCAACTTCCAAATCCTTGACCTGCAGAGACCCAATCCATTAGGCCATGAAATCCATCTGTGAAATCAAACGGTGTATGAAATCTATCAGCAGACAACTGTAACTAATTTTTATCAACATTTATAACTTCACAAGTGCGGCAGCTATTGCCTTCATCATTCTTACACGATACACCAAACTCGGTTAGATTTACAATGCATGATTATGCCAATTAATCTTCTGAGAGTATGTGAGCAAAGCATACTTCATAACTGGACACTGCACATTTATTAGATATATAGATTACTCGTTGTGAAGAATTTATGACAGGATTCCTAGTGCTCTTGGCACATGACAAAAGACATTTTCTTACAGGTTGTTTATAATGGCTTACTTCTCTTATTAAGCACTCTTAATACTAAAACTGAACTTTTTAATTTTTAATTTTATTTTAAATATCAAGTTACAACTAATCAACTTAGATATAATCAAGAAGTTCATCTACAGCCCAGAAAAATATAACTCCAACAATTGACACCATGAAAAGCATGATTAATTTAAGATACCTTTGTTGTGAGGTAATCTTTCACTGCTATTTCTTGATTTAACCTAGCAATAAGATCTTCCATGTCTGTTTTTGCCGTGACTAGTCTTCGTTGCATAGTCAAGAGAACCCTGCTCAATTTATGCCGCTGATCTAACGGGAGAACTACCTGAGTGCCACCTGAAGTTTGTAACTCTGCATTGCCAAGAATTTCCATGATGCTTGAAACCTCGGCACCTCCAACAAGATCGAAAGAACCATCACCAGATGAATTTGGAACCCCAGAGTTAGACATTTCACTACCTCTTTGAGAACTAACATCACTTCCCACACTTTCATTTGAGAGCTTGCGAGAATGGCCGAATACTTTACTATGCTCTGGTGCAGAGAAAAGTTCCATTCCATTACGAGCTTGAATTGAAGTTTTAGAAGAATTTCCATTATATGTATCCTTCCCTATAACATTATTGACATTTCTTGCATGCACTTTATGCTTAGGAAGGCCTTCCAACTGCTCTAGTATAGTCTGTCCCATAAACAGTCCTTCGTCAATATTGGTCATGCCATACTTCACAAGCTTTTCTATTGGGCTTGTTAAATCTTCATCCAATAAAAGATCTTCGATACCAATTTCAGAACTGTCATCCCTTGCTTGCCTAGGTGTTCCTAGCTCAGATGTCTCATAAGCGGTATCACTTCCATAATCTGATGCGATTGATGAACTACCAACAATGACAGGTAAGGCAGAATTGGAAGGCGATTGAAGTGAATTCACTTCTGAAGTGTTTTGACTTGCATCTTGGAATGCTGAAATATATTATGACAAGGAACTGATAATTAGCATCTACAAAAGGATTCTAATTTTGAAAAATTGTGAAAGAGAAAAGGATTCATTAGACATCCCATATCACTAAACTGAACATGTATAACACAAGATAAAGATGCATTACAACACTTAATGCACAAGGTAGTCACATACAAGACCTAGCTGCAGACTCTAGTTCCAGGAAGGATGCAACTGCAACACTTCTTGATATATCAATATCAGAAAGCAGCTTTGTCATCCAAGCCTCCAAAGAGCACCTTCTCTGCAACAAAACTAAAACTTCTTAGAAATATTAGTCAGCGTCTTGGAAGTGTACGAGTGTATGCACAGCCCATTGTTTGAAGATTGCAAATAATACTGTTTCTTGAAAAAAATTACTTTTCAGTTAAGACTTGAGACTAATCATCCCTTATGTAAATATGAACAAACTTGAGGGAGTTTCTTGCTTTCCGTTGAATGCCACTCATGTTAAACTGATTAAGCAATAGAACACTCCACCTACCTCTTCCAACAGTTCCCGGCTCTTCATCCGCAAAAGCCCCTTGGGTGGAGTTGGTGGGAGATTTTTCTTGGGAAATGCCTTTTTAAGCTGCAAGTGACAGCACACAAAGAAAATAATAAGCGCCCTGTGATTTGTTACTTAAAAATAAGAAGTCATGAACACATTTCCTTAAAGAGTGCTCAGAGAACAGTCAAGTAGCCATCATGATGTGAATTACCATACTACCATAAAGTAAATACCTATTTTACCGAATATGACAGTCTGAAGTCAGTACTTACATCATTAAATAACTTCAGAAAATCATTAAATCTTCTTAGCACTCCACTTGTAGTTGTAATACCTTCTGGTGATTGTACACCAACCTGAACCCTGTAGAACTGTCCCTTAAAATGTTACAATAGAACATGCAAAAGACTGGTATAGACTGTAAACAAATGTGAAAGTCTAAAATATGAAGTATCAGCTTGAAATAGCCATTGTGCATGCAGGTAGTGTAAATGTTTATTTTACAAGAAACTAATATCTATATATGTTTATTCACATTCAACCGAAAAAGTTAGATCTATCCAAATGGGAATCTTAATCTCGACTGCTATGCTCATTATCTATGTTATCAATGTCATCAAGCTTGTCACAAAATCATACAAATGTTATACCAAATGATTACATTGTATAGTCTGAAAACATTATTTTTGAATAGAGTCCGAAAACATTATAATGTAATACAAGGAAGACTTGCTAGGGTCAATGATGAATGACAATGCACCTACAGGATCACCTACAACTTTATGTTCACCAAACTGACTGCTATACCACCCAAATGCATTGCAGAAACCTAAAAGACCATGAAGTAAATTAAACATATTTAATTTACTTGTGGATGAGGCTACCACCATATTATTCAAAGCTTCAAGCATGGAAAGTTCAAGCATGGACATAGATTTCCTAATTGTACTCAGACCCCAAAAGATGATATAAAACAACATCTAACCCTGGGCATAGATAAACACTGGAGAGTCATTCAATTTGAATACCACTACGGGATCTGAATTTCTTGATTTTGGAAGGACAACCCAGGAGGGTATAATGACACAATAACTCCACCCTGTGCGAGGATCATGTGGCCAAACTGTGTCCCGCCCATTCTGCAAAATGAATGTGAATCTTTTGGATTAGAAGATACCCAGAAATTATGTTCAACTTTGATTGACAATAAATAGTGCAATAATGGCAAAAGGGGAAAAACAATTATCCACACTAGAGAGCAGAAATGCAACTGTTGAGAAAAGCCCCCCCAAAAAAAAAAAAAAAAAAAAAAAAACCCACCCATATAAAATGACAGAAAAGCAATTCTTTTTCATCTTTTGGTAACACGATGTTCGAAGTGTGGATCCACCTCAACTTATGTTTGCAAGATTAATGGTTCTTATTCCTAAATGCTACGAGATTGCTCGATGAAGAAATAAAATTGTAATCTTAATTAAGAAGTGGCATGAATTATGAAGAAATTGGGCAACAAGAAATTTTTTATGCCAAATTGGAAAGCAGCTAAGAAAAAGAAAACAAGACAGCGTTCAAATTTAAAGCGTAGATAATCTAAACACACAGAGTCCAAGAAGTCATACCCATTGGAATTAGATGGAACCCTGGGCAAGAGTTATTAAAGTAATGGTAAGAATTGAATGCCTAGAGATAATTAAAAAGTAAAAAACTTTTCAAGAAATGTGAGTGCATTGCTGAAACTGTAAGAGAACAGAGTTGAGGAGGTGCATCAAACCACTATAACTGATGAACTGATCGATTGTATAAAAGACGGGATTAAACTAATAATTAAAAGCTTAAATTAGAAATTAATGAGCTTAAAATTAGACCAAGTAAGCGAAAGGCTCGAATTTACAAACCCAATGAGAATGTAATTCAAAGTGAGGAACTTTAAATGAAATTTGAATTCAAAGTGAGGAACTTTAAATGAAATTTGAAATGAACGGAATTGAAGAGAGCGAAAGCAAACGGACCCATTTACGCGGAGGAGGACTCCAATCCATCCCAAGGGGCAGCGGCGAAGTCCCATCGTGCCGGTGCTTCGGAGGACTCCGTCTCTGCATTTTCCGATCTTTCTACAACACACACACACACACACACTCTCTCTCTCTCTCTCTCTCTCTCTCAAGAATTCACTTTCTCTCTCTAAGAATTGAAATCGATCATCGCCGGCTCTCTCTCAAGAAGTGGGAAAGAGAGACGGAGCTAGGGTTTTTGATGATCCAATCGGACGAGCCGGCCAAGGAGAATCTCTCGGTCAAATAGAAACAGAAACAGGTGGCCTCCGCACAATTTCCATTGCCTGCTTCGTCGTCACTGCGAGAGCGATGGCGCACGTTAGCAGAAGAATGGGCAACGTGGCTAATCGGAGCCGCGAGCGTTGCGTATCACCTGCAGCTTCGATTCGTTCTCTTTCTTCTTCTTCTGTAACAAAAAAATTCCGAATTGCGCGTCTCTCTCCTTCTCTCTTTCTCTTTTCTTTTTCTCTTCTCTGTTTTTGTCTTTTTTTTTTTTTTTGGGTGGAAAGAAAGAGAGTCTGTCAGTATTCGATTCGAAAGGCCACCACCGATTGCACCCTCTTATTTTCTTTTTCTTTTTCTTTTTTCCTTTTTAAATTTTTTGATTTTATTAAATAATTTTTTATATTTCCTTTTTGGTAATATTAAACAGTCTCACCTAACTGTCTTCATTTGCAGTTGCATTGAGCTTCACGGCGAGGACAGAGAAGCAGGCGGAAGGCTACTTTGGACCTTTGTGTTGAGTGAAAACCCCTTTTTACCCTTGGGCCTTCACGGCATTAGCTCCAAATGCTTCTTTTGGTATTGTTAAGGGTTCTTTCATCAATTCAACCCACTATCTAATTTAATAGTCTTTTTGATTGAATTGGTTGGTTTGATTCATTTGGGCTTGACCCATGAAAGTTGCTTTTGTTTTTTGTTTCACTCTTTTGAGCCCAAAATTGGTAGGTGTGGCCTTTCTTTGTGTATAGATTGGCCCATGAAGTTACATTTGTTTCTTTGCTCTATCCATCAACTTAGCAACTAAAATTGAACCTAATGGCTCTGAAGCTTAGTTGGGTACCCTCAAGCATGCCAAGTCTTTCTCATTGACCATTTGTTGAACCAACTTTGGTTGTGTGGGCACGTTGCGGAGTCAGAAATTCATGTTAAGAGGGACATTTTGGACTATGTGAAAGAATTTAGTAGAATACCGTAACAAAATGTAAAGTGAAGGATTTTCATAGAGACCAAATTCCATTTGTAACGTAAATGATTGAGATGATTAAGGTTAATGGTCTATATAAAATTTTCCATTTTTCATAGAGACCAAATTCAAAAAGTAGAGCAATACAAATGAACATAACTTTGCCACAGAGACAAACCAAAAATCCCAAAAGATTTGTATGTGCATTCACCTTTTATTGCCATCTATAGACGGCAAAAAAAGACCCTCCTTTCTTTATCTTTTGACTCACCTTTGTTCCCAAAAATGAGATTTTGACAATAAGATCCAAAACAAATCCCAAAGCTTTGGCTTTTTTAAAAATTTCCAACCCAATTTTAATCAAAAAGCAAGTGTGAGCTTCCATGGTCATGATAATCTCTGAATAGAGAGGAGGCAAGACAAGACCCCATGTTTCCTGAGCTTCAGCAAAAGGACTTCCCACGATTTCTGTAGTACTCAGCTGCTGCTGCCGCAACCATCACACGCATTCTCTTACAGTGTGAAAGAAATGTGCTTGGGATTGATACCCAGGAATCATGGGCTCTATTTTACTATATATACCCACAAACCAAAGTGAAGAAAACGCTTCTTGTACTAATTACCATCAAAACTTTGTTGTATACACATATTCACCACGTTTTATAGCACAAAAGAAATCATCTCGATATATAAAGGGAACTGATATTCTCACTCTCGGCACTCTTATCTCATGCAAGAGTGTGGGAGAATCAACAACAACCATGGCGAATGTAAATTTTTACTTAAGTAACTAATCCTCCACTAACAGTTTATACATGGGGGAAATTTTATTTTATATATTTCTATTATTATTATTTTGCACTAACTGTTACATATGGTCATGAATTTCAACCTCGCATCCTGATTTTGTGAGTATTGATCGGAAATGATAATGCAGAGAAAAAACAATTAATTAATCTGTACAATTGGTCACGCACTGAAACACATGTACATGCAAGCCTAGAACTACAAGAGTTATAACAGCATAAAACCAGGCCTAATCTCAGGGGTGGTAGCTTAAGCTTCCCTGCCTTTCTAGGCACTTCCCTTGAACCAGCCTATTTGTCAGTGCAATTAGTGACATTCAAGCAATGCCTAATAATATATTTATTAGGAAGAACAAGACAAGTTTGAGGCTCTGATCAGTGCCTAGTCTACCTTGGGTGGCATTTTCTTCAAGGGAAGGAATCAAACAAAGGGAAAGGCACTTTGGAGTTTCCAGAGCTGCAGCAAGAAGAAAGAAAAAAAACTAGACAGAAAACAAATTCCCTGATCATATGTTTATAATTCTGTGACTAACTTTTCAAGATCTTGCAATTTAAACCACCTGCATGAAAAGGGGTAAAAGGAGAGAAGGGCTAACACAAAAGCTTACATTTTATAGAGCTAGAAAGAGGATTTTCTTTCAGAATTGCAGTGGCAAAGTAGTAACCATTGAAGGGCAGAGAGAGAGAGAGAGAGAGAGAGAGAGAGAGAGAGAGAGAGAGCTGTAGAAGGAAGATGAGAATCTTTTTATGGCCAATTTAGATCCTGCCAGTGGTGTTTCACAGCTTTCTTGAACTGTCTTTGTGCTATTGGAACTGCATGAAAATTATCTGATAGTTCCTGAAAGGGCACAGACGTTCAAGAAAGCTGTGGAAAATCACAAGGAGGATCATCTGTACACACTTGAAAACTTCAACTTATGATTCATGGGATACATGATTTCTCAATTCTAGCATAGCATCTGATGCTTATTCTGATTTTGAAGAAGAAGGAAAGGGAAAAAATGGAGGCATGTAGGTGATTGATGAACGGAGAGGTTATTTATAGAACAAAATGTCAGTATTTTCTGATGATCTACCAATTACATTCTAGCACATCAGCACCAAACACAATTTGGACCCACCACTTGGCACTGCCATTTTGGTCATTCTTAATCAAAAGCAGCTGGTTGAATCAGTAACTAATTATATTGATTTACTTAGGGAGGAGAAAGAACTTTTGATGATGCTTTCATGTTCACTTTCCAGACTGAATTTTCAATATCAGATCTCTATAAGTCTATTTCTATGTGCCATCAGTATCACTATGCTAGCAAAGATGCATGGAAATAGCCATATCTAAAACTTTAACACTGAATGCAATATCCACTCTATCCCTCATTTTATGAAATGTTTCCGGAAAAGGTGCATTTGTTTTGCTTAATCAATTTATTAGTGACCTCGTTATTCACGTCGATTAGTAGTACATAAATGCAAAGATAAGTGGTTCAACCATGCGTTCCACGTGGCTTGCAATATTTAGAAAGTGTTTCGAGAATGCATTCCACGTGCATCACAACATTCATAAAGTGTTTCAAGAATGCGTTCCACGTGGATTCTCACGTAAGATATTACGTACTACCAAAAATCAGAAAAGAAAACTTGAGATGAATAGTATTTTTTATGTATAGATACATAAACCAGCTGTGATGTTAGTTTTCTCAAACATCCCAATTTTTTGGGCATGTGTAATGAAGAATATGATTAACCCTTCGAAGTTCCTTTTCTTCTTGAGTAGGTTGTAGGGAATAGTTTTAAAATCCCAAAAGAAAACTTGCCAGAAAAGAAGGTTCAAAAGAAAAGCTTCTGAGGTCTGCTTTTCTCAAATTTGCTCTTCTTTCAGATATAAATGGATGATGGTTCTTTTGTAGCTTGACAGGCATGGAAGTTAGGGCCATTTATAGCCAGAATTGGATTTTCTTGTATTGGTTGCTATGCAATCGTACCAGACTTAATGTCCAATTTTATATTGGGATCCGGGAAAGATTTCATGTTCAGATTTCTTTCTAATCAAAATTTCAATTCTCATCCATTGAACTAATTAATATGTATATATATATATAATAATAAAAAATCCCATGTTACAAAATAGTTTTTCTATTTTATGCAAGCGATGATATATATATAAAGCAAAAGACAGAGAATGATGAAACATTCAAAATGCTAGAAAATGCATTTGGTTAATTCAAACATTGAGAATTGAAATTATTAATTAAATGATGATAATATGGTAAATTCACCATTTTTATATTAAAAAAATTAAAATTAAAAACAAATTAGATAATATGTCCTACTTTTATGGAACATTTTACCCATATTATCTTTTTTTATGAAATAATTAATTAAATAAGGATAATATTGTAAATTCATACTTTTTCATATTAAAAAAATCAAAAGAAAAATCAGATAATGGATCTTATTTTTTATGGAACACAACACAACTACCCATTATTTTTTTTATTCTAAAATAAATTAAAACTTTTTAAAAAAAATGTATTTGAACTCGGCTGTAGAGTGGAGAGCACGTACGCTCTAGCCAACTTGACTAAGCTCATATCTGCTGATACAAAGCGATTTAAAGCAGCAGCTAAAATACATAATTCATAGCACCAAATTACATAAACAACAACAATTACATAACAATAAAGGAAAACAGGCAAACAGCCTTGCCTGCTTATTATAACAAATTGGGCATTGCCCTACAAGACTATTAATTAATTAATTAATCCCCTTATTCTAGAAATTGGAACAAGCAAGGCAAGAGAAAGGGCGTAAAAACCCAACAGTAGAATCATTAGCAACATACAACAACAACACTGTACCTCACACATCCTAACAATCTAATGCAGCACAATTTTAAATAGTACTAAGAGCTTGTAATTCTCATTCACATTTGAAGCCAGGGGGCACTGATTTTTCGCAAGCACTAACAAGCAAACTCAATGCAACTGGCACTTCCAAGTTGACAAGCCCGAGCACATTGGCCTTGATGACAGTGCAGAGACAAACGGCAACTTCCAAATCAGCCAAGCCTTCAAGCAATGCACAGCACTTGCTTGTAGGAGGGGTCCCAACTGGAAGGTTAACAAGTCCTAGAAGATCTATACAAACCCCCAACTTCAATGTGTCTTTTGGGCAAGTTTCAGGTTGGGGTGCTGGTGCTGGTGCTTGAGGCTTGCAGGTGTTGCAAGCAAGAGAGAATGTTGATGAGTAGAAAAGGATTGAAAAGATGAGAATGGTTGCAGAGAGCTGCTTGTTGGAAGCCATGGCTGAAGTGGTTTAAGGGTTTGATGAAGGGTGCCTCTATTTTAAAGGCAGATTGTGAGGTTCATGTTTGAGAATCTGATTGAGTGGAAGAGAAATGAAAATGGATGATAATGTACGGCAGGAGTTTTTGTATGCTTGTGAGGAAGAGAAGTCGAAGATCTGTTTTTTTTTCTTCCTTATGTTCCACTACCATAAAAAAATTGTTCATTTCTCAGAATCTCTGTTCCCTCTGCTGCCAGTTTTCACTGGAATTTTTAAACACATCAGTCATATTATTTTCTACATATTACATGTTCAAGCTTTTATGGTAACAAATAATGTGAGGCTCTGCATGTATATCCCATAAAATAATATATATATATATATATAAGTGGAAAAGAGGAACAATTGCATGCCAATAGCAAAACCTATTTTGGGGTGCTGCAGAAAAATTACCATAAGCTAGTCATTGAAAGCAATTGCAGTGGATGCATTATCAGTAAATGGGTTCCAGCTTGCGGGTTGTGACAAAGATGAAAAAGGCCCATTTTGCTTTTTGGTCGTTTCATTTTCTTGTGTCAATAATTGAAGGCAATGTGGTTCACATGGAATGGATACAATTGTCGGATGCTGGGGGCTACTGTTGGAATTTTTTTCGAAAAATAGGCAATAGAGCTCCACCTTTTTTCTGTACAGAAAATAATCCAGATTTCAGTTTCAGCCAATGTGGTAAAGAGTTGATGAAATTTGAAATTATGGTTGGATTTACATCTAAATTGCGTGATTCTCTAACAAGGATCGGATATTCAGACAATAACAATGTAGATTAGGTTAGTTGATCAAGACAGTATGTCAGCTTCCATGAACCCAAGTTCCTCTCCGTACCGTTTAAAGTTTACAATACAACACCAAAAATAGCAGCAGAGAAGAGATTGTGTGGTGGGGCTTTTAAAAACCCAATCTACTGTTTGCTAGGCCCAAGCCTGCCCAGGGCTACTATCTTCTGGGCCAAGTGATGTTAATTTTGGGTCCCAATTCTTACAAAGGAGTTTGGACAATTCCATAGCTCTGAATCTTATCAAATATAGGCCTTACCCAGAAGATACCTATGAACACTTTTTTCTTTTTCTTTTTTTGGGGGCCGAAACCTATGAACTTCTTTAAACTTTTGAAAAGGGATCGTGTGTCAACCACTGAAGAAGATATATTTGGCATGTCATGTACAAAGATGTGTATCAAGGAGGGAGGAAACTTACATGACTCTGGTTCACATTTTGGGGCGCCCCTACGCGGCCTTGGCCCCTCCATCTTCTCACCTCATTGACTATATAGAGAATATAAGCCTAGGTTGCAAAAATAATAATAATAATAATTCGCCACTATGCACATGGTTGGAACCAGCTTTTGAATGTGGACTAGGACGAGACAAGCTGGAATAAAATTTTCCTTATGATTTGGGATGGGTAAGGAAACCTAGAAAATATGAGCCGATTCATGAAAATGAAGTTGAATTGGGCTTTACATGCCAGGTATATGGACCCTATGTTGTTATTTTTCTCCTTACACATGACATCACATGAGGAAAGATATATAAATAAGGGTTGCACTACCACTCATCAGCTGCAGTCAATTTTTTTTTAATTTTTTAATTTTGTGTATTAATTTTTTATGCAAACGATATTGAGGGAGTGAGGGAATTCGAACACAAGACCTCAAAAATACAGAGAACTATTAACACTCGAGCTGCAAGTCCCTTGCAATTATGCATTAAGAAATTGGACATGATCCATTTAGTTGACTATACTGATTTATAGATTGATTACATAAGATAGTGATGAATTTATGCTTCCCAAGACATGGGACATATAGCAATTCAAATAAAAATTACCATTGCGTTTCATTTTGGTTTATTTGACCCTTAAAATGACAAAATCCCAGAAATATCTTGTACTCTGTTAAAGATACCTTTTACGTTGGCGGGTTTCTGTTTTTGATATTTAAGGCGGGCACATCACAGATCACACACACACACGTGGGACCATCACAAAACCCGCCTTTGTTGTGCTTTGGATATGGGCCACTCAAGTTGTCAACCAGCAGCGCTGGCCGCCCAAACACTTCAAAATTTAAAACTTTTTTTTTTTCTTTACAAAATATACAAATGGGATTGTACTTGTAGCTAGCCGAAGCTTCTTTGCCTTTGTTGTAGCTAGCACCTTCCTTCCCCTTATTTTTTTCTGTTTAAACTTTTCTGGAAAATATATCACAGGTGGATAAGTATAATTGAGAATCGTTATTGCCGCGTCAAAAAAGTCATCATACACCTCTTCAATTGTAATTTACTTTTTATGTTTTTATAAAGTGAGGAGTGCATGGTGATTTTTCTGGAGTATTAATAATAACTCCGTTAAAATTTAATTTAATTTTCTAGATGTGTGAATAATTAAAGTTTTATTAGTATTTGAATCATTCGAAGTTTGAACAATTTGGAGCAATATTTTCTTAATAATAGCGCATGGGCAATTTGAAGTTGGAATCATCCATCCAATCGTGTGCCCCATATTATGGAAAAGTTCTTGTACACATCATGTTGCATGAAATCCAATTCTTCAAGGCGCGCCCTAGAAGGAAACTTCTCCATATTGGATGGCTCACTTCAATACAGAGTCCACCCATATAGGAATGGACAACTATACTTAGCAAATGTTGATAAATAAATTAAAAACTTTGTACTGTGAAATTGTTAATCTTTAATCCCATATTGAGGAGAACAACTTGTACTTGTATGTCACGGGGATAATATTATTTTGTTATTCTTAATTATTTATGTTTTATTATAGGCTTAATTATGTACATGTCCCATGTGCTTTCAAACTTATCTCAGATTACCACATGTGTTTGCAAACGTCTCAAAGTACCCCCCAACGTTTAAAAAATCGTCTCACGTTACCCATTCCGTTAGTTTTTTTGACGTTCCGTTACGAACGTTACTGTTCATCCCCCCAAAATTTCAGAAAAGCAGCCTCTCCCCTTTGTTACTGTTCATCGCTTATTTACCCTTCAAAACTCATAAATTTCTCCTAACAAACACAACTAACAGCAAGAACAGCTCGAGAGGTTGAAAAATCATACTTGGATCGAAGCAAATGGTGCTCAGAATCGCTCGAACGAGCGATGGAGATTTTGGGTAAAAACCGGCCAATTTCTTGCTTTTTCCGGCGATCCAGACGACAGTTGGTAGCGGCTGAGATGTGAGGCTAGTAGAGGACAACGTGCTGGTTCTTTTGATACCCATGTCGTCGCTTGAGGTGGCAGTAGGAGGTGATGGCAGCCCAAAAACTGGTCGGATAAACAATAACAAATGAGAGGGGCGGCTGTGCTGGGGGGGGGGGGGGGGGGGGGGGGGGGGGGGTGGAACAATAACATTCGTAACGGAACGTCAAAAAAACTGACTGAAGGGGTAACGTGAGACGATTTTTAAAAGATTGGGGGGGTACTTTGAGCCATTTACAAACACAGGTAGTAATCTGAGATAAGTTTGTAAGCACAGAGGACATGTACATAATTAAGCATTTATTATATAAAAAAGTTATCATGCGTAATTAGTTGGGGACTTACTCCAATTGATAGTCAATGTAGAGATGTGCTAGCCACAATTGTTCAACATCCGTATAAGTGGATGTTAACTGTTGATGCGTTGTATGACTCACTTGCATCAACGGTAGACATCGACCGTATACCTCCAATCCACATGTCGGCCATGTATTTGACAAAGACCCATTCCACATGTCGCCCAATTTTCGTTTCGTTGTATTTCAAGTTTGATACCAATCCAATAGGCCAACACTACAGAAAATAATTTCACCCATTTTCTGCCAAAAGAAAAGAAAAAAAAAGTTACAGAGAGAGAGAGCGGTCTCAACTTTCATATTCGAAGATTCAATAAGGCTTGATTTGGGGTGATACTGGACCAAAAGCGGAAAAGTCGGTCGCCACCACCACGGGCTCACTGTAATTGTTTAGAGCGAGAGAGAGAGAGAGAGAGAGAGAGAGAGAGAGAGAGGGGGATTTGAGCTGATCTTGGTGGTGGTTGGTGGGTGGGGAGATGGCGATACTGTACGCGCTGGTGTCACGGGGATCGGTGGTGCTGGCGGAGTTCAGCGCCACGTCGACGAACGCGAGCACAATCTCCAGACAAATCCTCGAGAAAATTCCCGGCAACAGCGACACCCACGTCTCCTACTCTCAGGATCGCTACATCTTCCACGTCAAACGCACCGATGGCCTCACCGTCCTCTGTATGGCCGACGAGACTGCCGCCCGTACGTCGTCGTTTCATCAATGCCTTCCCTCCAATTCCCCCAATTTTCCCTCCTCAAATTTTCAATTTTTGATCTTTTTTGTGCAGGGAGAATACCTTTCGCTTTCCTCGAAGACATTCATCAGAGATTCGTCAGGACCTATGGCCGCGCTGTTCATTCGGCTCAGGCATACGGCATGAACGACGAGTTTTCTAGGGTTTTGAGCCAGCAGATGGAATACTACTCCAATGATCCTAATGCCGATAGGATCAATCGCCTCAAAGGTGAAATGAGCCAGGTAAAGGTTTCAACTTTGTCACTAATTTATTAAGTTCAATTATGGATCCGATTTTGTTTTTGAATGTATTTTCAATTTCTGTTTCATTTTTTTGAATTTGTAGGTGCGAAATGTGATGATTGAGAACATTGACAAAGTTTTAGAAAGAGGGGATCGCTTGGAATTGCTGGTTGATAAAACTGCTAATATGCAAGGGAATACCTTCCGATTTAGAAAGCAAGCTCGGCGTTTCAGAAGCACTGTGTGGTGGAGAAATGTCAAGCTCACGTATGGTTTCTGAACTCAAATTTCAATAGCTCAAAGAGTAACTTCGAAATTACAAATTTTTTTGAAATTTCAACTTATGATTTGTAAGATTGGCGTTTTATGTAATGGGTAATGTTTTCATGTCAGACAGTGTGGCATACGTTAGGCTAGAGTGTCAATTCAACTATGTATTCAAACCGCAGTTTGTGCATGTTATGTTGCTAGAGTGTTGATTCAACAGCAAATTCAAACCACAAGTTTGTGCATGTTACATTGCTAGACTGTTAATTCAACTGGGTATTCGAACCACAGATTGGGTCAGATTTTCTGGAAAGAGGGTTTTATGTAATGGTAATGTTTTTATGTCAGACAGTATGGTGTGTTCCATTTGTAGACTGTCAAGTCAATTCAACTACGTATTCAAACCACGGTTTATTGTTTAGATTGTCTGGCACGAGAGTATTTTCCTTCGTGTAATTATGATTGTGCAAATGCATTACTTGCATGCCCCCACTTACCAGATGCTTTGAATCTTGCAGGGTTGCGTTGATATTCCTTGTGCTGGTGATAATTTATGTTGTGCTGGCTTTTGTTTGCCATGGCCTTGCACTACCCTCCTGCTTGAAGTGATAGTGAGAAACAAGTGAGATTGGAATGTGCTTCCTCTTCATATTCCTCCTCTTCTGGGTATATGGGATTCTTCTATTTAAACTTCCACTGTTGTAAGTTGTGTCAGAGTGTCATTTCCATGTGATTTGAAATGGCTCAGATGTGTGTGTTAGCCCGTGGGAGTTTTGAACTGGTTTCGGTTGTATGTTTGTTTTTTTTTGGCCAAAAGGTTGTATGTTTCTTAAAACCATAGCTTGATGAGTTTATATTTTTGGCTGGTCTCATTTTCTAATTGTTTTATTCGATTGTGAATTTGGACTAATTGTCCGAAGAGCTTAATTTATGTTCATCGACAAACTGCAACTTGTACACATGGGTGATATCTTCTTCTTGGTTTTGCCTATCTTCCACATCTGTACAGTAATCGGCTGTTACTTTTTACTCAAGTCTGTTGCCCGTATATTGACCACAAAAAAAAAGTATGTTGTCCGTATTGACGTGCATTATTATTGTGTACAGTCTCATGTTTATTTTTGAGTAGGCAAAGCAGCAGCTAAATACGAGGGAGATTAGAAAGTCAAGAATGAAACATAGATAATGAATTTTGTTACTTCTGCGGTTCTAAATGCACTCAGATCAGAAGAGCTTTTATTTGATAACTTTGCATGCTTGGATTTCTCTGGGTTGGCAGGCCTTATCTAAATTGAATCAATGAACAAAAAGCTTCTGGACTTCATCTACCTATTAGTTGGCATGTGCTGTCCACGAATGCTAAGAACAGTTTCTTAGTCACAGAGTTAATTCTATTGCCTTAGCCAGAAAGAAGGATAAAAGGATTCATTGAGAGAGAGAGAGAGAGAGGAGATCTTTGTATACATTAAGTAATATATATTGTTCTATGTTACACTAGGGTATCCTCTACAAGATGAAACTTGTTTAACAACTCCTCCAATGCTTGCAAGGTAGTCTTATAATGTTCTTCAGATTGTGCCCCTTCTTCCGCAACCGGAAGGGCGAGTTTATAAAGATGATTATGCCAGTACACTGGGTTATACACATCAATATTACTGGAGCCATGATGTAGAAGATACCTGCACTTGAAGTCTTTTCTCCACCGCGGCAGAATGTAGCGCAATGGGACTTCTTCCACGCCGTTATAGTTGAGAACGTTTAATGCATGCCTGCATAGGTAACCTTTGTAGTTGAACAAACTGCAGATGCATCGGATATCGACTTGTGTTGTTTCGTACAAAACCTCATAGCATCTGACTTCCTTGTCCTTTCCTTCAACTTCAACTCGTTCTTTGACAATGTAGGTTATTATAGGGCCATTCACACTCACCTGCCTCGTGTTGAAGCAGGAGTACATCCCCTCAACCTCCAACTGGAACCTCTTGAAAATCTCCTTTGTATATACCTTACATAGCTGCACTTCAAAATTACATTTTGTCTTCAATTCAAAGCTTGAACTTCTTGACTCCAGATCTGCCACCACCTCTTTCATGCGCTTCCTATGTAGAGCTAGATCGTACTTATCGACGAATTCCTTAAACGACGTATGTTTATGTACATAACCATCAAAAAATGCAGTTAAGCTCTCGTTTTCTTGGATAGGGATCATTCCGGAAAAAAATGTGTCTTTCAAGTAAACTGGAACCCACATTTGCCGATCTTCATACAATATCTGAAGCCATCTATTCTCTCCCAGTTCATGACACTTGATCATTTCCGCCCACGAAGTTTCAAACTCAGCTATTTTCAATGAATTATAGACTGATTTGTGCAATTGTCTCTTGATTGCTTCATAGCCCTTCAGTCCTCCCAACTTCTCCGGAACTTTCTGCATGATATACCACAAACAATAGCAATGCCGAGCATTTGGGATAACCTCAGACACTGCAATTTGCAAGGGCTTGCATTGATCAGTAATCAAAACTTGCGGTGGCTGCCCTAGCATGCATTTAAGCCATGCCCTGAGCATCCAAACAAAATTTTCCACTGACTCATGGCCAAGGAAGCCACAGCCTAACAACACAGATTGCCCGTGGTGGTTAACACCAACAAATGAAATCAGGGGGATTTCATACTTGTTTGACAAGCATGTTGTATCTATTGCCACTGTGTCACAGAAGTAGCCATATGCAGCCCTGGACCTGGCATCCGCCCAGAACACATTCCTCAGGTGCCCGTCATCATCAAGATCCATCAAATAATAGAAATTAGGGTTCATCAATTTCATGCGGCAAAAGTAGTTGTAAACTGCATGAGCATCTCCTTCTTTAAGTTCCAAGTGCTTAGATAGATCAATAGAATTCAAACCTTCACTTTCAGTAAAATTTGAGTATCCATTGCTCCCAACATCCATAACAGGCGTTCGGTACAGCTTGATCGTATGAATTTCTGTCACCGGCTCTGGCAGCGGTTGTGCGCTTTTGGCAGCAAGGATCATTTTCTTATGTGACTTGTAAAACCTTTTGATTTGTGGACTCACCTGATGGTTGTGTTCAAGCTCTACTTCAACTATTCTCCACCTTTTCGAGTCCACCAGTCGGATAACTACCATGGCAGGACAACCGGTTCTTGTTTCTGGTCTTGGATTATTGGCTTCACTCTTTTTCTTAAAACCTGCACTGCTGCAACTCAACTTTGCTCGATACCGCTCTTTTCTTTTTGACCTGAACCATGAGTTGCTTACTCTGATGCCAAAGCCCTGTTCTTTGCCATAGATATTGTAAAAATCATAGGCTTCATCAAAAGAATCGAACTCCAAACCCACTGTGGGTGCTGTGGGGTCCTTTCTTCTTTGTGTTTCCCCAGTTGCATTGTCATGCTCAGTGAAGTCTCCCTCTAACTCATACTCATCACCTTCCTCAAATACTGGCTCACTATTGAGACAAACTTCTTCCATCTGAAATGGCAAACATAAGAAGACAATAATTTTTACAAAAACTTTTAAAAATTTTAAGATACTTTTCAAACAAATGTTGATTCATTTGTCAAACTTTCTTAAAAAGTTTGACAATGATCCAAAAACAACAATTGTCCTTTTCTTCCAAAAACTAGTGTAGTGGTTTGAAGCAAATGCTCCTCAGGAAAGCTCATGGGTTCAAATCCTATCATTTGTGTACTGTATGTGAGTTTAGTATGTTATCACCCCTCTCAATAGGAAAGGTGCTAAAAAAACTAAAGGGTAACTAGTTTTTAACCCCTGTGAAACACAGTAAAATCAAATATTGTAAAATGGTGAAAAAAATCATCACTTTGAGCTAATTTTTCAAGCAAGTATTTCCAGAAATCTTCAATCTAAAAGGCTAAAACCCTTCCTACACTCAAACTACTTAACACAATTCCACAACAAAGATTTACCAATTCACAATTCCACAATCAAATGGACAATCCAGAGCTCGTTAATGGGGAAAAAATGTTAAAAGAAAAAAAATGAAAGACGTGTTCTTTCGTTGAATTTGCTTCCTTTGGCGCTTACTTGGAGAGAAAAAGCGCTAGAGGTTAACGCAAAATTAACCCTTTCGCTTTTCTAACCTACCAAACAGATTAAACACTATTTCAGGCCCGAACAGGTTCGCAATTTAACTTTCTTTTACTTTCCCACCTTTTCTCGGAATCCAAACAATTTACTAATCGAAGTCGAAGGTCAAAACTATCCATTTAACCCATTATTAAATGCAGAAACACATAAAATTGAGGATAATAGAGTGAGGGCTTAGGCGATCTTACAGCGATTTACCGGGTCGGATCGGCGAGGCGGGTAATGAACTGTCAGAGGAATTGGGGCTGAGTCAGGGCTCCGAGTTGGCTATTGCTGAAGGAAAAGTGCGAGTCACACTGGGGATTACGGACCTTCCAAAAATCTATCGACCCTGCGAGCTGACACGTGGGTTCAACGTTATTATACAGTTATACTGTTTTCTCTAGGGTTTTTCTATTTTCTTTTTTAGAAGATTTGTAGAACAAATAAAATAAACATTTTGACACCCTTTCATAGTTTAAAACTCTTTCATAAAATAAAATAAACACCAGATTTTTATGTTTGACAATGTACTTAGAAATGCAATCCAAAGGATATTGATTTAGAGTGTGTAATTTGCAAATTCTCAATTCAAATGTTTTTTTTTGTTGCTTTAAGATCGAAAATAACGTGATATTTGCATCTCACAAACTCATCCTCCCTTTTTTTCTCTCTATATTTCCTTAAGTGTACAATCAATGAGAAAAGAGATAGCATATGAGCATGAATCCGTGACGACTAAGTTTTTCTCTAATTGTCACCATTCACATGCTCTATTGTATTCCACATCGAAACCTCGCATTGAAGAATCTCTATAAATAAAAAGAATCTTGAGTTGTGGTGGCGACAAAATAGATTGAAATTTATAACTTCTACTCGTACTCCTTGGTGAAATATTATATGTTTTAATGTTGAAGACAATTTATATGCATGGGTGGCACCCCTCATTATGTAAGTACAGAGTATTTTAATTTCAATAAAAAGGAGGTCATATTTTGGAGTTTGGCAAGACCGCCAAGACTTTAACAAAGTGGAGAATATTAATACAAAACCAAATGATCATTGGTCTTATTGTATCACCAAGCTCTCATTTTGTGAAGCTTTCATGGAATTTTTGATCAACCACTGGTTTCCACATTGACTATTATTTTAAGGCTCTCATTTTGTGTGCTTTTCAATTTAGCTACGTATTGCCATGTCACCAAGAGTGGAAACCATGATGGTTGACTTATTTATACTAACACCACATGAGGTTTTTGGTGTTTTTACAAAACTCCTCGAGGTTTCATAAATTACACGAATATTCCTAAGGTTTTTAATTTATTTTTACAAAACCCCTTTATGTTGATTTTTATTCCAAAGATTAATGAGTTTATATAAATTTTTTATCCAAACGACAAAGTTAGCCTTTGAGATTAGATTGCACATGCATTTATTGAGGTTAATTTTTTAATTTGCATACTTTTTTTTAATGAAATCATCAATTTTTGGACAAAAAATCAATGAAAAGGGGTTTTATGAAAATAATTTGAAACTTGAAGGGGTATTCGTGTAATTTCAAAAACCTCTTGGATTTTTGTGAAAACACCAAACTCCATAGGAGAGTTAGTGTAAGTAGCTCATATTAAGATACTGAAATGAATATGATATGTGTGGAAAATTGTTTAAGTAAATTTAGGTTTTAGCCACAATTTTTTTTTCACTTTTGGAAAAAGCCAAAGTTTTTTCAAAAAATACAGAAAAACCTCATCAACTTTCAAACCAAAGACATGTAAATGTAAATGATTCATTAGGAAATCCAAAAATAAATAAGGGCAATTTTGTCCATTTTGGCTCCCTTTAAAAAAAATTATATCTCCTTTGGTTTTTTCCAAAGTCTCCCGTTACATTTTCGTTTTGAAGAATTTGATTCTTAAGAAACATATATATGATCTTTGATCGATTATTTGGGAATCTCAAATAAAAAATTATAATCCCAAATTAAAAAGGTTCTAAGCTATGTCTTATACCATGATCACGAAGTTATATATGCATTAACATCAAAGATTATTAAACCATCGCACCAAAAATTTATGGTTTAACTTTCCAAAGTTTTATCCTTTTTATCACAAACAATGAATACATGAAAAAAGAAAAATAAAAAAAAGAATAAGAATGTAAGACGAGCTTAATAGTAAGTCTTGATTTTAGTACAAACGAAACGATAATCTAAAATAATTTTAATTAATTTAATATAGGAGGACGAAAACGAAGTGCACTGTTCTCTGACCTAAACTACATCTGCAATTTTAATTTTGCAAATAACATTTTAGCTAATAAATAAGCACGAAGGGCAAACTGTTAAGTAATTAGTTGGCACACCAACGTTACACGGTAAAGGATAGCTCCTCTAGTATTTGTAGAAAAAAAGAAAATAAAAAAAGAAACGCGATGCTAAAAAAAGCGGCAAAATCATTAGAATCACGCGACCCATGAATATTATTGGTCCAATACTTTTGGTACTGCAGACGTGGCCCTATCCCAGCAGAAGACGAACAGCCCTGGCCACAGCGGATCTTCCCGCGGCACGTGCTGCCATAACTCCCCAATTGGGGCCACGACCTCCGCGGGTCCCATAGCACGTGCACCTACGTCACAAGATCAACGGCCGAGACAGAGCGACAAACCTCGTTTTCACGTAACGAGATAACACATGGATGCAGAGGATTATGACCCGCCAAACCTCAGAGACGCAAAACTAGGAAAAAAATTACCACAAAAAAGGAAAAAAAAGGGAAGGGGAAGGCGCAGGTAAACTATGATGCGCCGCTTATTGTCCAAAGTGCCTTCTCCCTTCTTTGTTACCCTCTCAAAGCTCACCACACAGCCTCCTCTCTCCTCCTTCTGTTTTCCCTAAAACAACAAAATTGATCAAAAATTTTAAAAAGAAGGAGAAATAAAAAACATTCAGAGACTGATAGAGATAAAGAGAGAAGAAGAGGCGAACAAAAACGAAACCCCAAATGAAGCAGCAGCATCAGCAGAGCTCGTCGTCTGAGGCGGTATCATCGTCGTCGTCGTCCTCCTCCTCCTCATCTACTTCCTTGGACCAATCACAGCCCGCCGCGTCGTCGCCGAATTCGGGAGCCTCCGATAAGCTTCCATCGATACCGGCGGCGGCGCCGGAGGACCTCGCCGTGGGGTCCAGGGATGGTGGCGGGGCGCAGGAGAGCGTGACCGTCGATCGGCGAGGCGAGTACTCTGCTGTTTGCCGATGGACGGTCCAGAATTTCCCGAGAATCAAAGCTAGGGCACTGTGGAGCAAGTACTTCGAGGTGGGAGGATACGATTGCCGGTTGTTAATATACCCTAAGGGTGACTCGCAGGCTTTGCCGGGGTACATCTCCATATACCTCCAAATCATGGATCCTCGGGGCACCTCGTCGTCCAAATGGGACTGTTTTGCGAGTTACCGGCTAGCCATCGTCAACCTCGCGGATGATTCCAAGACCATTCATCGCGATTCATGGCATCGGTTCTCGAGCAAGAAGAAATCTCACGGTTGGTGCGATTTCACGCCCTCTTCTACTGTGTTTGATTCGAAATTAGGTTATTTGTTCAACACCGACTCCGTTTTGATTACCGCCGATATATTGATATTGAATGAGTCTGTTAATTTCACGCGAGATAGTAATAATAACAATGAGCTGCAATCGTCTGCGGGCTCGATGATGATGTCCGGTTCAGTGGTTGCCGGACCGGTTTCTGATGTGTTGAGTGGCAAGTTCACTTGGAAAGTACATAACTTCAGTCTGTTTAAGGAAATGATTAAGACTCAGAAGATAATGAGCCCGGTGTTTCCTGCTGGAGAATGTAATTTGAGGATTAGTGTGTATCAGAGCTCGGTGAATGGTGTGGAGTATTTGTCAATGTGTTTGGAGAGTAAGGACACAGACAAGACGGTTGTGTTGTCTGATAGGAGTTGTTGGTGTTTGTTTCGAATGTCGGTGTTGAACCAGAAGCCGGGGTCGAATCACATGCATAGGGACTCGTATGGGAGGTTTGCTGCTGATAATAAAAGCGGGGATAACACAAGTTTGGGGTGGAATGATTATATGAAGATGTCAGATTTTGTTGGGCTCGAGTCGGGATTTTTGGTGGATGATACCGCGGTGTTTAGCACGTCCTTTCATGTAATAAAGGAGTTTAGTAGCTTTTCGAAGAATGGGGGGTTGATTGCAGGGAGGAGTGGTAGTGGGGCAAGGAAGTTGGATGGTCACATGGGGAAATTCAATTGGAGGATTGAAAATTTCACAAGGTTGAAGGATCTTTTAAAGAAGAGGAAGATAACGGGTCTTTGCATCAAGAGCAGGAGGTTTCAGATTGGGAATCGGGACTGTCGGCTCATTGTCTATCCCCGAGGTATGCATCGTTATTGCACAGGAGAATTCTCTGTTGTTTTATTCTTGATAATTGGTTGTAACCATCAATAACTCTTTCTTTTTGTGAATTAATGTGTTGCAAAGCTATGAAACCATGTGATACATCATTCACATACAGATATTTGAGGACTAGTAGTACCTTTATCATCCTATTTGAAAATGGTTTTACATGTCCTTCTGTATAATCCCACCACTTGAACGTATTGGAGCTGCATCTGTAGTTACTTGGCATCATGGGCCACTGCAAATCTGGTATGTATTAATGCTATCAAAGATAGCATAGGCCACCATGATTTGCATCTTTTGATTAAACTCTGCTCTGTGTGCTTGATGTTACTTGGGCATTGTTGAGGCATGCTCATTTTGTTCATAGGGTTGTGTATGCCGAGGAAATTTTGATATTCCGTATGTTGGAATGAGATAATTTTTTAATGTGATAGACAACATAAAAATTGCATAGCTTGTGCTTTAGAGAGTGAACTGATGAAAAGATTTCATATTCTTTGTGGTATCAGGGCAGTCTCAGCCACCATGCCACCTTTCAGTGTTCCTTGAAGTTACAGATTCACGGAACACATCCAGTGACTGGAGTTGTTTTGTGAGTCATCGTTTATCGGTTGTGAACCAGAGGTTAGAAGAGAAGTCTGTCACAAAGGAGTCTCAGAACCGCTACTCCAAAGCTGCAAAGGATTGGGGTTGGCGTGAATTTGTGACGCTTACTAGTCTATTTGATCAAGATTCAGGGTTTCTTGTTCAGGACACTGTTGTATTCTCTGCCGAGGTCCTCATATTGAAAGAGACGTCAATTATGCAGGATTTAACTGATCAGGATACCGAGTCAAGCAATTCTGGTTCCCAGATGGATAAGAATGCGAAAAGAAGTTCATTTACGTGGAAGGTGGAGAACTTCCTATCTTTTAAGGAAATAATGGAGACCCGAAAAATATTTAGCAAATTCTTTCAAGCTGGGGGATGTGAGCTTCGAATTGGTAAGCATCAGTCGCACATTTTCTTCACTAGAAGGGTGTTTCAGTTGTTTGCATTTCTTAATCTTACTGACAGTTTGTTTTTCCTTGATGCAGGTGTCTATGAGTCCTTTGACACTATATGCATTTATTTGGAGAGTGACCAGTCAGTTGGTAGTGATCTGGATAAAAACTTCTGGGTGAGATACAGGATGGCTGTTGTGAATCAAAAGAACCCTGCCAAAACTGTGTGGAAGGAGTCTTCTATATGTACAAAGACTTGGAACAATTCTGTTTTGCAATTCATGAAGGTGTCAGATATGTTGGAAGCAGATGCAGGGTTTCTTGTTCGTGATACTGTTGTTTTTGTTTGTGAAATATTAGACTGCTGTCCTTGGTTTGAGTTTTCAGACCTAGAGGTTGGCGTTTACAGGCCTTTTACATTTATACACTGCCTGCTAATTATTATTCATTTGGTCCCTTTTAAACTTTACTATTTTAGCATGCTAAATGGCATTCTGTCTGATGTTGAAGTTTCTTTGTTCTTGAATGCTGACCAATCTTGACCTTGAGATAAGGATTTTTGAATTTTCTGGGCAGTTATGTGTGGTTCTTTCATTTTTAATTGATTTCTTAGCTAACATGGTTTTGGATACATTCAAAGAGTTACATGGGTTGGTTGATGTAAGTGTGTTTACTTCACTCCAATTGTTTTGTACAAAATGTAGTTGAGGATAAGGTACAAGTATGTTTTTCACCTTGTCATATCTCTGCCTTGAGCTGTAATATTTCAATTTTACTTGGAGCAGTTAAGTTATACGTCCTTTGGCTCATTATTGGAGGAACGTAATTTGACTAAAACCAGTGTTATATTTTTTCATCCTTCCACTATTTTATGGTGTTTGCCTATGCCTGTATTGATGTGTATTTTTCTGTCAGGTGTTCGCCTCAGAGGACGATCAGGATGCATTAACAACAGATCCTGATGAGCTCATTGATTCTGAAGATAGTGAAGGAATAGGTGGCGATGAAGAAGATATCTTCAGAAACCTGCTTTCTAGAGCTGGATTTCACCTCACATATGGAGATAATCCTTCACAGCCACAGGTCACTTTACGAGAAAAGCTGCTGATGGATGCTGGCGCCATTGCTGGTTTTCTGACTGGACTCCGTGTTTATCTCGATGACCCTGCTAAAGTAAAGCGCTTGCTACTTCCAACCAAGCTATCTGGTAGCAGTGATGGAATGAAAGTCATAAAGAATGATGAATCTTCCCCTAGTTTGATGAATTTGTTAATGGGAGTCAAAGTTCTGCAGCAGGCTATTATTGATTTACTTTTGGACATTATGGTTGAGTGTTGCCAACCTACAGAAGCGAGTTCTAATGGTGATTTGTCTGATACAAACTTAAAGTCTCCAGATGGAAGTGGAGCTGCTAGTCCTCTGCAATCGGATAGAGAAAATGGAGCTGCAGAATCTGTGCATTGTCCTGTATATGAGAGATTGGATACCAGTGTTGATGAAACTAGCAGTAGTGCTTCGGCTGTTCAAAGCTCTGACATGAATGGGACTGGTATACCTGGAAAACCTCATCCTGGGCATCCAATTTCTCCCCCAGAAACATCTGCCGGGGGTTCAGAGAATGTTTCTCTTCGTTCTAAGGTACAATACTTTGTTCCTCAAGTATTTTAAATATTTTGCTTAAGTGATAGTACTGACTGTTTGAACAAATTGAAAATTAGACCAAGTGGCCAGAGCAATCTGAGGAGCTCTTAGGATTGATTGTAAACTCACTAAGAGCTCTTGATGGAGCTGTTCCACAAGGCTGCCCTGAACCAAGACGTAGACCTCAGTCTGCACAGAAGATTTCTCTTGTACTGGATAAAGCTCCTAAGCATTTGCAACCCGATCTAGTTGCTTTGGTGCCTAAGTTGGTGGAGCACTCAGAGCATCCACTTGCTGCTTTTGCACTTATAGAACGACTTCAAAAGCCAGATGCAGAGCCTGCATTGCGGACACCTGTAAGATTTCCTCAGAAGGCCCATCCATTTATTCATTTACTTATTGTTTTCCCAAGATTAATATGCTTTTCCTGGATGAGTTAAATATCTATTTAAAAAAGCATCTTTGGAATATGTCTTCTGGAAAACGGTATAGCTAGTCTGTGCACGTTTGCACAACTTAGTCTCTCACTACATTATTCTTCTTTAAGTTATCTTATCTTGCTTCCCAGGTTTTTGGTGCTCTTAGTCAACTGGACTGTGGCAGTGAAGTTTGGGAACGAGTTTTATCTCAATCTCTCGAGTTTTTGTCAGATTCAAATGATGAGCCGCTTGCTGCAACTATAGATTTTATATTTAAAGCTGCATCCCAGTGCCAACACCTCCCTGAAGCGGTATGCATATAACTTATTCTGAATATTGGAAGTACTTTATTATATTATTCCTAGTAGAATTTTTTTTAAAAAAATGACCCCCTTATATTATTTTACTCTAGTTTTGACATGCTTTTCTCTAAGCATATTTAACCTTCTTTGTTCACCATTGTAGGTCAGATCTGTTCGTGTTAGGCTAAAGAATTTGGGTGTCGATGTTTCTCCTTGTGTTCTTGAATTTTTGAGTAGAACTGTAAATAGCTGGGGAGATGTTGCTGAAACCATACTTAGAGATATTGATTGTGATGATGATATGGGCGACAGTTGCTCGACATTGCATTCTGGTCTTTTCTTGTTTGGTGAACATGGACCTAGTTCTGAACGGTTTCATTTGGTGGATGAGAAGGCTTTCCGTGCTAGTCGTCATTTTTCTGACATTTACATCTTGATTGAGATGTTATCTATCCCTTGTCTTGCTGTTGAAGCCTCGCAAACATTTGAGAGAGCTGTAGCTCGTGGTGCCATTGTGGCTCATTCTGTGGCCATGGTTTTAGAAAGGCGCCTTGCTCAAAGATTGAATCTTGATGCTAGATTTGTTGCAGATAATTTCCAGCAGCCAGATGCTGTAGTGGAGGGAGAAGCCAATGAACAGCTGAGAGTCCAACGGGACGATTTTACTTCAGTTCTTGGCCTTGCTGAGACATTGGCCCTTTCTAGAGATCTTTGTGTTAAGGGATTTGTGAAGATGCTGTATACATTATTATTTAAATGGTATGCTGACGAGTCTTATCGAGGGCGAATGCTAAAGAGACTTGTTGACCGAGCTACTAGCACAACAGATAGTAGCCGTGAAGTTGACCTAGATTTAGATATATTGGTGACTTTGGCTTCTGAGGAGCAAGAAATTATTAGACCAGTTTTGAGTATGATGCGGGAGGTTGCTGAACTTGCAAATGTTGATCGGGCTGCTCTTTGGCACCAGTTATGTGCCAGTGAAGATGAAATTATTCGCATGCGTGAAGAAAGGAAGGCAGAAAATGCTAACATGGTTAGGGAAAAAGCTGTTATATCGCAAAAACTGAGTGAATCTGAGGCTACTATCAATCGTCTTAAGGTACTTCTTGTCTTAACTGGTGATATGGCTAGGATTATCGCATCTTGTTTATTCTTTTCGGGGAATATTAGAATTGATGCATGTCATGATGTGGCAGTCTGAAATGAAGGCTGATATTGACCGCTTTGCTCGTGAAAAGAAGGAACTTTCCGAACAAATACAAGAAGTTGAGAGTCAGCTTGAGTGGCATCGCTCCGAGCGGGACGATGAAATCAGAAAGCTCACTACAGATAGGAAAGTGCTTCAGGATCGTCTTCATGATGCAGAGTCACAAATCTCTCAGTTGAAGTCCCGAAAACGTGATGAATTGAAGGTATAAATTGATTTTCTTTCGTGTCATCTCTGATGACCTCTCAGCCTTTTTACGTAGTTGGCGTTCTTATGTAATTGATATTTTTCTCTATAAGTCTTTTCTTCTTGTTTTCATCTCTGGTCATTTGATGCACCAGCAATCAGTTTTTAGGTTTTAATGTTAGGCTTTTTTTTTAATTATTACTTCTGTTCAAGTTTTGTATGCATGCCATTTGAGGTTTAACTTTTGAGTCTTGACATCTTGTTATGAGTTGTGATTTTGGATCCTTCACTAGTGGGTTCTTCTTGCTATTTATGGATCATGTTTTGGCAATGAATTCGAAAAGTATTTACTCTGTGGATCTGCATGTTTAAATAATGTTAGTGACCATACCTATTTAATGACTTTTTTTTTTTAATATAAAAAAATCTTCTATGATGCAAATTTTTTTTGGTTTGATTTTTGTGTCTTGCTTTTGTGTCAAGCCATGCCTTTCTCTAACTACAATTGATGAATGTGACAGAAAGTGGTGAAGGAGAAAAATGCTCTTGCTGAAAGGTTGAAGAGCGCTGAAGCTGCCCGTAAAAGATTTGACGAAGAACTTAAACGGTATGCCACAGAGAATGTTACCCGAGAGGAAATTCGGCAGTCTCTTGAGGATGAAGTACGGCAGTTGACACAAACAGTGGGACAAACGGAAGGAGAGAAACGGGAGAAGGAAGAGCAAGTTGCTCGGTGTGAAGCCTATATCGATGGGATGGAATCAAAATTGCAGGCCTGCCAGGTTTTTGCCTCAATATAGCCAATGCTTTTCCCCCCCTTCTTTCTCATGTTCACCATTATCTTCCTCTTTGTCTTCTAATGATCTGTTTTATCACCAGATGCAGCTAGTTGTGGTGCTTACTGAATTAAGCTTCATATTTTGATTTACCATAAGAATATCAGAATGTGGTTTGATTGATGCGACCTTATATCTTGCAGCAATATATTCACACCCTCGAGGCTTCACTTCAGGAAGAAATGTCCCGGCATGCTCCTCTGTATGGGGCTGGTTTGGAAGCTCTATCAATGAAGGAGTTGGAGACGCTGTCACGCATTCATGAAGAAGGGCTCAGGCAGATCCATACCCTTCAGCAGCAGCGTAAAAGCAGTCCAGCCGGCAGTCCTCTCGTGAGCCCTCATGCCCTCCAACACAATCATGGGTTATATCCTGCGACACCGCCCCAAATGGCCGTCGGATTGCCTCCTTCACTCATCCCAAATGGTGTTGGGATCCATAGCAATGGGCATGTGAATGGTGCTGTTGGACCCTGGTTCAACCATTCTTAGATCCTGGGGTCATAGCTCTCTCCGTGCCCATGCAGGCATTTGTTCGCCCAATCGAGTTGGGTGAAATTGCTATTTTTTTGAGTTACTTATTGGCATTTTGGCTGTTTGAGCTGTTGGAATCGAGTGGGATAGAAAAAAATGAAAAAGAAAAAGAAAAAGGAATAAGATGATGAAAGATGCAAGGCATAGGTAGGCTATGAGGGAGTCCAATAGAACTAACAGTTGCAAATGCCAATACTCATTTGCCCCCCTTCTTTTTTCCCTTAAAAGTTAAGTATAGGCTTTTTGAAATTTTTTGTTAATTATGTGTTCAATTTATTTTTTGAAGCTTATCTCTTTACTCCTCTCAACTTCTTTTATCTCCACTTAAATTTATGGTCTTTCAAGGGTGAGGCAGTTTATCTGTTTTGTCATTGAGGCAAACCAACTATTCGATCAATCTCAGCCCGAAAGGAAATCAATCACTCAATGCCCCCGATTAAACATCTGGGCGGCACATTTTATGTCATTTGTGTCTGGCTCTTTCCTCACGTACATTTTAGCCCTAGAAGAGGCAAGGGAACACAAACTACTGTGCTGTATGGGGCCCTCTTCCTTGAAAGTAAAGAAATCAAAGGCTAGGGTATGACTCAGCCGGATAATGATTATCACAAGACGGGATCGATTTGCGTTATCTTTGACTAAACTGCTAGCGTACCGTGAGGGTTAGGAAACAGACTTAAATTAACTACTTTGGAACCCAAAAAAAGAAGAAGAAGAAAATGGAGCCAACTTTGCCACATTGCTAAAAAGGAAAACAAAATTTTTACATGCAACCTCAAGCCCCTTTAAAAGTGCACAATATCAATTTGAACATTTGAACCGCGTGGATTTGTTGTTGACATGACACACCCATCTTAATTACGTGATAGGAAAATAGTTGTGTAATTTGCTTCATGCATATCATAATTTTGTTGACACCTCACTAACAATCAAATATACAGATACATATTACTAACTATTTTCCGCAGAAAGTCAATGGTCCATGTCAAAATGCATTACCGTAAATTTCGTTATTGTATAATATTATTATGTTAAATTACAGGTGAAAATAGATATATATTAAACAAAAGAAGCACTCCATCCATAAGCTTTGCTATTTCATCGCATGCATCTAGAGAGAGAGAGAGAGAGAGAGAGAGAGGACTAAAATTTGTGACATAATTTGGTGACGTGTGTCAGTGATTTGCAGGTGGGTTTCCGTGGCGAGAAGAGGGAAGAGGGGAGGGATCCAAGAAGTTAGGAAATTATGTGGAAATAAAAGAGGTCTATCTATGATCAAGTTGTGGGAGAAGAAATAATCAAAATAAAACGTGGCCTGATAAATCTGATTTGACTTCTCTACGTGTCCCTCTCGCACTAGGAAAATTATACTTTTTGTATGATTTGTCTTCGAACTCATCTCTTCTCCACACACAAACAATAAACTTGCCAACCTATTTAAGCTAATCCCACCCCTCATTTCACAATCACCCAAAATAGTTACCGCCAGCCAGAACCCAGCAATTCTCTCTCTCTCTCTCTCTCTCTCTCTCTCTCTCTTGCATATATATCTTTATTGAGAGATTAATTAATTTGCTGCTCATAAGCTAAACCTCATTTGTTTGTCAAGAGAGAGAACTGAGATTCTCTCCATTCCTCTCTCTCTCTCTCTGGCATTGCTGGGCAAATTGGTCATGCACTAAGCTTGTTTCACTACTAGCCACTACATTACCTGTGTAAGCTGCTGTTACCTCACCTGAGCATTTTTAGCTTTTGCTTCTTCTTTAAAATGAATGCAATTTTATAACCAAAACCCATTGCAAGTCAAATTAGCTACTTGGTCATATATGTATATCTGGAACTTGGATATACAAATATGATGATCAGATAATCTCACTTTAAATTTGTTTAGAAATTGTCTCACTTTTGCTCTTCAGTTTGGCCGAAATTGTAGTAAACGTGTTTGTAGTTGCTCTAACAATTATTTGACCATATCCATATCCAGCGGCGGAGCCACCTAAGGCCCAGGGTGGGCCCAGGCCCTCTCTCATTTTTTTTTATTTTCTCATAATTTTGAGTCTTTAATAGTGTAGATGATGAGATTAATATTCAACCATGTTAAAATATGAAATTCAGGACAATTATGATTGTAATAAATGGATAAATTATTAATCGGTATGAAATGATATTATTAACTTATTAATCTGTTTAGCGCTTGAAGACTCCTATTCGAATTATTTTTAAATTTTTTGTGAAATGTCCCCTCTAATGTGAAATCCTAGCCCCACCACTGTCCATATCCATCCATTTAAGCATGTGGTTGAGTTGTTTTGCCAAAATTTGCGGTCAGCTATATATATATATATCTAAGTTTATTTTACAGCCTCAAATCCATTTTTGGGATCTTTTGACTCATTATTCCTGCCTCATGTTTTGACCTTCTCTCTCTCTCTCTCTCTCTCTCTCTCTCTCTCTCCCTCTCTCTCTGGTATGTGCAGCATGAAGAAAATTTGTTGGCCTTACTTTGATCCTGAATTTGATAATCTCCCAGAGAGGATATATGGCCCTACGTAAGTGATCGAAATTTCCAATTCTCTTGAACCCTGCTTTTGATTCACCTTTGGCAGTCTCATGAGCCCTGGAGGCTGGAGTTGCATTTCTGATTTAGCTTAACTGATTTGCAGGTGTAGAGTATGCATTGACAACGAAACCTGGGAAGATTGCACAATAGTAAAGGTTTGTAAATTAATTATAAATAAATTAGTTAATTAATCCAGCCAAATATTTGTATGATGAAGGTCATGATAATATATGATGTGGTGCAGGTGGATAGCGTGAACAAGCAAGGGCTTCTCCTCGAAGTGGTGCAAGTATTGACAGACGTGAACCTCACCATCACTAAAAGTTACATTTCTTCTGATGCAGGATGGTTCATGGATGGTAAATATATTATATATATTTGTATGATCCAATTAATCCAATTACTTTTATTTAATAAAATAATCAATATTTTATGACCAATAATAATTTGCGCGCATGCTTTGAATTTGCAGTGTTCCATGTGAAAGATGAACACGGCAACAAACTTACAGACCAGAAAGTCATCAACTATATCCAGAAGGTGATTATATATAATTAGGTTTCTTCATGATCAATGAGTTTAGTTAATTAAATTATTGACTTTTGTAGAGAGGCCTTGATAAATGATTTTGCATATATATCATCACAATGTCAACACTAACACGCTTAATTAACTCTGACCTAATGATGCAGGCCTTAAGTACAAGCACAGGCACCCCGGACTCAGCCAAGGCCTATACAAATAACAACCCAACTTTATTCTCACCCACAAACCCTACCGACCACACCACCATCGAAATGACCGGAACAGACCGGCCCGGTCTGTTCTCCGAGATCTCCGCTGCCCTAGCTGACCTCCATTGCAACATAGTAGAAGCCCATGCATGGAGCCATAACGCCCGCCTCGCCTGTGTAGCTCAAATCTCCGACCAATCAACAGACCACAACCCGCACCGCCTCGCCACCATCGAGGACCACCTCATCACCGTCCTCCGTGCCACCACCGCCCTCAGCCCGTGCGGGAAGGAACCCAATAATGGCCAACAAGAAGTAAAGACAATAGGGCTCTTGGGATCAGGAGATCATAATTATGTTCATCAAGGAACCATGAGCACCAATGTAGAGAGGAGGTTGCACCAGCTCATGCTTTCTATCAGGGACTTTGATGGGCCCAATGACGGCCCCCAAAGCTCGCCTAGGACGCCGTTGGGGTTGTACAGTGAGGGGGAGTGGAGGAAGACGGTGGTTTGGATTGAGAGTTGTGAGGAAAAGGGGTATTCTATGGTGAGTATTGAGTGTAAGGATCGGCGGAGGCTCATGTTTGATACTGTGTGCACTCTCACTGACTTGCAGTATGTGATCTTCCATGCTTCTGCAAGTGCCCAGGACGGTTATGCCTTTCAGGTACATATTCATATATTCTTGATCACTCACGATGTCTCTTATTTTGTACATATTTATTGATCACATTGTCGTTAGGTACTGATTCTCTAGTAGATTATCTCTCTAATAATTAATAGATGTACAGTCTGACTTGTTTTATTTAAGCGGTAAGTAAGTGAGTCTCATTTTGATCATTTTGAGAAACGAGGAACAAGGTGACTAAATTGGATATGGGGGGCTATATTAACTAATGTTGTTTTCATAGGAGTATTTTATCCGACATATCGACGGGGATGCCTTGTGTACTCAGAGCGAGAAAGAAAGAGTTATAAAATGCTTAGAGGCTGCTATAGAGCGTCGGGTTTCTGAGGTGAAGTATTGTCTATATTTACGAGATAAAAGATGTGATCTACAATGTAATGTGATATAGGTAATAGAATAATAATTATAAGCAACAACATTAATTTATTTCTCTCTCTCTCTCTATATATATATATATATTTTGACAGGGGATTCGGCTAGAACTGTGTGCAGATGATAGGATAGGGTTACTCTCTGATATAACTAGGGTTCTACGAGAGAATGGGCTTGTCGTTGTTCGAGCAGATGTAGCAACTCAAGGAGAGAAGTCCATAAACGCCTTCTATGTGAGAGACATTTCAGGAAATGAAGTAGTAGACATGGACTTTGTTGAGTCGATGAAAAGGGAATTAATGGGTTCAAATCCAATATACGTTCAAGTCAAGAATGACACACGGATAAGACCAAGCTCACCTGAAAGGCCGTCTCCTCTCTCTAATTTTGGAGACATGCTAAAATCTCAACTTGAGCGTTTGTCCAACAATTTTGCTAAGATCAAGTAGTGGTATACTATATGAACGTGTATAAATTAAAATGAAAAAAATAATAATTTTGAATTCATGTACATACGTAGACAATAGGCAATTTAATTCTAGGGCTGTACATATATAGATCTCGAACCGTATTATTTCTAGGGTTGTAAATAATAATTTTAA